TACAAGTTATATTTCGCTTGAGCGACATTAAACTCGCTCGAGCGAAGACACCGCACATAATTTTCATCATCGGGTTGTTTTTCGCTTGAGCGAAACTGATCTCGCTCGAGCGACTAGCAAAGTATGATCTCGCTCGATTTATTTTAATCGATTAAAACACGTTTTAATCGATTAAAACCACTTTGGAAGTCAGGATGATCGATCAGAATGTAATTATGACCGATCAGAGTTGGTTATGATCGATCAGAATTGAATTATGACCGATCAGACTTATTTCAATCGATTAAAACAAATTTCAATCGATTAAAATGACTTGAAAATTTTTGTACAGAGTTTCAATCGATTAAAACGAATTTCAATCGATTAAAATGACTTAGAAAAATTCTATGCAGGTTTTTAATCGATTAAAACTTCTTTGTATCAGCTTAAAATAACTTGAAAAGTGTTATAAGAAAGTTTTAAACTGAATCAATCGATTAAACCGCGAATCAATCGATTAAATCACTCTTAGAAAATGTTTGTAAAAAGTTTTAACTGATAAAAACTTGGTCGTATCGGCTAAAACAATTCTCGTTAAAGAACAAGAACGCATTAATGGGTTGAAAGGACTTTTAACAGATTATAACGGCTATTTCAACAGATTAAAACAAACTTTGAACAGATTAATTAATGCAGTTTTTTCGAAAACTCTTTTATAAACAGAATTGCTTGGAACTTTTATCATATCAGCTTTTAAAAAAACAAAGCAATCAATTTAAGCAACGTTAGCATCCTTTTTCCAGAAAGAATTACAACTGGAAGTTGGTTCTTGGTGGAAAGGTTGAGTACAAGAACATGAACAATGGGAGAACGAAGATGTCCCATATATCGACTCGAATGTTGAAATGTTGATGATCGTCTCATCACATTAACTTGAGATAAAATAATTACAATATAATTTTCTACTTTGAGAATTAATAATATAATTAAACATCAAAATTGAGAATACTCTTATACATTTTGAACTCTTTTGGATAAATTTTGTTTCCCTAATTTTTGATAAAGTTAATTTTAATATTTACATTTATTATAAGCTTAAGTTATAACCTCTATTATAAGCTCCCTTTAAGAATGGTTCTTAAAGTGTTCCATCAACTCCCTGCTGCTTCTCAATTCCTGATTGAATCAGTGCCAGAGTCGGATTAAAGAAAGTAGAGTCGGATGTTATTGCCTTTGCCCCCACGCCAACTTGCTCTCTAATCCCACTGCTGATTGGATTGAACTGAAGAAAGCGGAGCTTAGGTAGGCTACAACAACTCTCAAAGCGTTAGCTCATAAGCCGTATTTCGCTCGAGCGACTATATCTCGCTCGAGCGAAATACGATCCTGATCGATCATAAGTTGAAATGATCGATCATAATTGGAGGATATAATAGCGGTTCCTCTGTAACCGCTATCTAAAGTGTATATTAGATAGCGGTTCCAGTGGAACCGCTATCATATACAATCATATTTTAATTTCTTGAGTCTCGGGTTGTGTTTCGCTTGAGCGACTATATCTCGCTCGAGCGAAATATGATTCTGATCGATTAGATTTACGAAATGATCGATCATAATTGGAGGATCTAATAGCGGTTCCCTGTAACCGCTATCTAAAGTGATATATAATAGCTGTTAAGATTTAACCGCTATTAGAAGTGATATATAATAGCGGTTATGTTTTAACCGCTATTAGAAGTGATATATAATAGCGGTTATGTTTTAACCGCTATTAGAAGTGCTGTTTTAATAGCGGTTAAGATTTAACCGCTATCATATATTGCAGGGTAACTGCGACTTTTCATTACTTTCATCTCTTTTCTTCGCACCTCAGCGAAGAAACTCTCTTTCTCATCTCCCCCTTTTCCTCGCCTGCATTTCGTCGCAAATCAGTTCAACCAAACGTGTGTGAATGTCGTGTTTCTGTCTTCGTGAATAGTATTTCATCGCAAATCAGTTCAAACAAACACAGCATAAATGATGTTTGAAATAGAAGATGTCGTTTAACAGAAAGAATAGACAAATTTTTGTACTTTTTTTTCTCTCTTATTTATAACTCGACTCATATATATTTGAAATCAGAAACTATGGCCAAAAACATTCCCTTTGGTATAACAATACTACACATTTCTGCAAACAAATTGAACACTAAACCTGGAACAATATTCCTGGTAGATTAAATAATTATTATTTTCAGCATTTTCCGTAGAATTAGTGCTGAGGTGGGACACGTTCATCACTCTTCCTAACATGCAGTATATATACTATTCATTCTGATTCCTCAATTAGTGAATTACCATTCAGTGGTCATAAATTAAAGGAGAAAAATATCGTATATGCACTAGCTTTTAATTTATTATTCGTGAAATTTAATCTTAGATTCTTAAAATAGATATATTTTAATTTAAAATATACTTCAGGAATAGTATGATATCTTCATGTAATATTCTCTAAAGATTTGTATTGAAAGTGTACGTACCTATCAGATAAATGATAAATCTCGGTTAAAGTGTATAAAGTCGAGATATGAAGAGAATAAACATCCGATATTATAAATATTTTCGCACAGATTATTTCAATATTATTATATATTTTTTGTCTATATAAAAGTATTATATTCTCTTTTAATAATATATTATTCTTTGAGTCCATACTTTAATGACTTGGAAAATCTTTCAAGATAGTTTCCCTCATTACAGGACTGGTCATGAAAGATGAAGAGTCCAACAAAAATTTGGCCACCCCATCAATCTTATAAATGGAATCTGGATTTTTTTTTTTTAGTTCTTTCTAAGATTTAAGTATTAAATTGTAGTTAGAATCTAGGTTCAGAAATGATAGGAAGAATATATAAAAGGCTAAATAATTAAACTATTCGATTGTAGGTTATTTTTAAGTAAGGGAGAATGCTAGTTAATAGTTCCTACTACTTCTATGAATACGTGGGATGTTCTCCGGTATAATTTTGGATTGCATTGATACCTAAAGAAAATGGATAAGAGGATTATTCAAGTAAGAGAAGTTATTTATTCAAATAATAAAATGTGTTGAAAGTATATATGTGTTTTAGATGATTGGATTTAATAGAAGTGATTGATGTTATCATTGTTGGTTAAGTTAGGTGTTGATCACTTGAATAAAAAGGTCAAATGGGGGAAGAGATAAGGTCAAACTATGGAAGAGATAGCTTAAATGGTGGTGATTTGTTTAAGGGAAAAGTTTTCACTCAAGTTAGAGTAGTTATGTTGCTAAACAAAAAATAGTAAATTGAGGTGAGAGAATTGATAAAACCTTATTTTTGTTCAAGAAATAATGATCGCTGAAGGAAAAATACTTGTAGAGGAAAAATAATTACCTTAATTTGTTTTTTTCTCAAGTAACATGGGGTCGCTCAAGAAAAAATACAAATAGATGAAAAAATATTTGATTTTGTATGTTTCTTTTATTCGAGTGAAGAGGTATCATCCAAGCAAAAAGTAGATAAAATGAATAACTTATTTATGTGGAATGAAATATATGATGATATGACGGTGTTTTGGGGTTAATTTGATTCAAGAATTGACTTATAATTAACTGAGATATATTTATGTGAGACTAACTCGATTAAATGATATGATCAAGTGAGATTTATAAGTTCATGTAAGATAAATAAGATTTATGCTCCAAAAATGATAGTGAGTTCTCAAGGGAGTTGATGTGGTGTTAGTATGACAACTATATGTTATCCGAGTTTAATTAGATATATATTAGTCGGGGAGTAAAAAATATAATTAAGGTATTAGTAGGTGCAAATCTGAAATGTGGATTGCTAATAACTTGTTATAAGATTTTGTTATAAGATTATGAGATATGTAAATTAGGATGGATGAAGTTGTTAATAATTCATTTCATGGATAAAAAAATCAAAATAATTCTAGTAGTCATGAAATATTTGTTGTAATATTGATTTTAATGTGTCTTACACATAATATTTGAGTTTCAAGTCTAATGCTAGTTTTTTGGAAGATGTTTAGTTATGTTAAATATGATGTCTGGGTGATGTAATGATGTAAAATATATTTTTAATTGAGTAATTGTTGTTTGAATTATGTATTGTTTCTAGGACTAGATCCTTATGTTTGTATTGTTACACACTGAGTAAATGCTATTGTAGAAAAATATGTTATATCTAGACAATAAGAGTAGTCTAAATATAATTAATTATAATTTCTTATTATTAACTATAATTAATTTAGTAGTTAAAAATACAAAATATTTATTAAAATATAGATTATTTATAAGTGCATAATTTAATTAAGTAATATATTTAATATTTTTATCAATTAAATAATCACGACACTACTTTTATTTAATATATTATGGAAAATAATTTTATATTATTTTTTAAAATAACAATTAGTTTTTATTTAAATTATTAGCACACATGGGTTTTATTTTATAATTGTATATTTATTATTTTAAAAAGTAAATAATGACTAGTGACAAAGCATATTATGCATATTTTATGTGATAACATTAAAAAAAATGTGGTAAAGCATATTTAAAAAGTAAATAATGACTAGTGACAAAGCATATTATTACTTTGGTAAGATATTTTATGTGGTAACATTAAAAAAATGTTTACACCAGTCATTTATCAAAATTAAATACTATGTTCTTTGTCCTTAGTTTTTTGAGGAATGAGGGAATAAAAAATGCAACAAAGTAGTTGAGGAAGGGTGTCCACAAATTCAGCAAGTCCACCCAGAATTACGGCACGTGGAAATGGTTCAGGACACGGAAAATTCTCAAGAAGAAAAAAAAAAAAAAAAAGGTAAAAGAAAGGCAACACCTAAACACAATCAATCACCAATTTAAATAATAGGCACAATTAGAACAGTTTCTCCATAAATTCTTCTAAAAAACTAAACTTCTCCATACAAAATTCTTTTATTGAAAGTGTTAAATGGATCAAGATGCTACTTGTCATCAATATGCATATTTTAGGTATCCCCAACTCTTCCAATTCTCAGATAAATAGGAAACTTGGCAACTTTTTTACCATCTTCTCCCCAAGCAAGCTTGAATTTTTCAACTGCATCCTCTGAAAGAAGCTCCACCCCTTTCTCCTTAGCTGTCTGATATGATGACCATGATTTTAAGTAAGTCAAGAAATCATCGAAATTCATCGAAGTTTCTGCCACAAACTCATAGGATCCAGTGTGATCAGCACCCTCCACAGGCTCAAATGGAAAATCAATGGTTCCATAAAGGTTATCAACCAATTTACGTGCTGGATCCCAATAAGGCCCTGCTTGAGCGGAATAGAATTGATCAAGGACAGAGTCTACTTCGTCACAGACTCTTGGCAAATAGTAGCACCATGCAGCAATGACTCCATGAGGCTTCTTGAGGACCCATTTGACTTGTTGGTAGAAGGTTGGGAGGTCAAACCAATGCAGGGATTGGGCTATGGTCACAAGGTCTATGGTTCCCTCAGATGCCACCATTTGTTCAAGTTCAGCCATTGACATGATTGCAGGGGTGTGCTGATATAGCACGTTAGGAAGCTCGACTGCAAATTCAAGCTGCTTAGCACTAGCATCTGTGGCTATCACATTCTCGTACAGCACAGCTAACTGAAACCACAAACTTTGGTTAAAACGAAAACAATTCTAGATTTCTGAGGTTAAAAGTTGAACAATATATGTGTGTTTGTGGGAATTGACAAAGAAATGTTTCTTGCAACATGTAACTGGAACATTTTAACATCAATTGAAACACTTAGTGAAGAAAATTAAGGAGAAGAAAGTGAGTATACAGATTTGGCAGCCTGGCCACTTCCAGTGCCCACGTCCCAAACGAGGTTGTGAGAGGGAGTCTTTGAAGCAATGAATTGGAAGAGTTGTGGAGGGTAACTTGGTCTTGCATCTGCATATTGTTTTGCCTGCTTCAAAAATAGATCTGCCATTTCTCTTTTATCTGAGCTTTACAATTTCTTGTGAATAATAGTGTTTGTGTGTGTTGTGTGTATATAAAGACTTTGAAATGTTTTCTTGACGATTCAAACATCTATTCCTGATGAATTTTTGGGTTGTTTATTGAGGCACGGAATGTAAAAAAAATCACACCTCTTTCCTGATGAATATAATACACAACCAATTTCAATTTCAATTCTTCTGCATAAAGTTTAGGATCATAGGCCAGCTAACATGGAGTAGAAACTTCAAATGAAAGTGACAAGGCTTTTTAAGATTTCAGTGTATATTTTTCACATTTTTTTCTGATGTGCCAAGAAGTTTCCTCTTTTCTTTTAATGGTCGTGACACTGCCACGCTCACTGCACACGCACATCGAAAGAAACACAAGGTTCTTTATTTTCACTTTCATTGATGGGGTGACCATGCTTCCGTTGATCTTATAATATTGGAAAATTGGACCACACACCACAACCCACTTCCACTTGTGTATAATGATAACGATGGACACTTCAATTCATGCACACAAACACCGTGGTGTAGTTGAGATATTTGACTTGTTGCCATCCATTCCTTTTTCCAATATCTAACTTTTTTCACCCACACACATACAATGTGCCATGACCATTCTTTTTCTCTGCTTTTTTCTATTTCTTGTAGCCATGACATCACTATTGTTTCTTTCCTATCAAGTTGCATTTAATTGGGTTACTGAGGACAGAAAAAATAGGGGGTTTGAAGGTAATATTATACACAGCATTGAATGCATGCACAATTGGAAAAGTAGTGTGTCCTCATTCTGTGTTTCTGCGAAGCACATGGTTTGTCCACTCCAATACCCTCCAATGGGGCAAGTGTACTTCAAGCACAGGCTTTATTGCTTGTAATTTATAATTGATCTCTACTGTGGCATTTTTTCATACATTATATAATCAATTATTTTATTTCTTTCAACAGTACAATTAAAAACTGTGGCACCACAAAATATTTCTTCTTTGATTAAGGAATCGTACCCTTAAATGCAAAGGTCACCTCACGTAGATCCAAAGTGTAACCCAGTTTAGGAAATTCTTTATAAAGTATATAGGTTAAGCAACCACGTCCACATACATCTCCAATAGAAATTATTAATCACAGTTATTTAAGAATAAAAATAAATATTTTATTATAAATCATTTTATTTAAAATTAAAAAAATTACTTAAAATTAGAAAAAAAATTATTTATATAAATAATTGTAACTAAATTTTAAACCATTTATATATAAAATTTATAATAAAATATTTATATTTATTCTAAACACCTTTGACTAAAAATTCATGTTAGATATGATGTTATTGAATTTCTCATTCGAAAGACTGAATTTAAAACTTCATGTGATGAACTTAAATTTTTAGTTGAAATTTCTAAATATAAAATAGGGTCATTTATATAACTTTGTTTCATGGTTTCAAAATTCTATTTTCTCTTTAATTTCAAAATTTTCGTGATCTATGCAAGTGATGTTAAAAGTATAGTCCTAAAAACTGAAGAAAAAAAAATTTAATAATTTAATAATTTTGAAAAATATAAGCATAGTTTATCCATAGTAAATTAGTAATTTAAGGAACTTGTTGGGTTTGTTTTCATTCCATTTGTTTATGTTTGAAATTTTTGTATAGCTTTATGAAAATTAGGATAATTTGTTCTAAATCATATTCTTTTTATATACGCTATACTTGAATTTAATATCTTATTTTTTAAAAAACTGACTTTAATACGACTTATAACTTATTAGTTTTTTTAATTTGTTTTTTCTTAAAAAACATATAACAAATGAGTTGAACATAGTAACTTATTTTTAGGTCTACTTTTTTATGTAGTTAATCATTTTAATATAACAATATTTTATTAAAACTAGAGTAAATTATACTCTGATAGTTGCATCTAATTATAAAAATATAACTCAAATACACTTTTAATAAAATAATTATTTTAAAATATTAAATTCTTATGGTGAAAATATTAATAATTTAAATTTTTAAAATAATGAAAATTATTAATTTTCATTTTTAATATATTTTTATTTTAATTATAAGAGAAATAACGATAAACACTCTAGAAGCATTTTTAATTAGGTTATTATATAATAATTATTTTAAAAAATACTTTAGAAAATATATATTATTTATAAATATTTTTTACTTAATTTTTTTTCTATTACAACTAAAAGTATATAGAAACAGAAACAAAAAATTAAATATATTATCCTTTATTTTAATAATAACATTTAATTCTAAAAAGTATATATTAATTATATAATAAGGTATTATTTAATTAATTTTAAGAATTAAAATAAATATTTTTTAAAATATTTAATTTTTTATATTTAATTAAAAATAAATATTTTAAAATTAGAATTAATATGATAGGGTATTGATATTTTTTTAACTATAACCGATTCTCCAATCCAAATTTATTTTTGTAAATCATTTTTTTCTTTCTTTTTTTATCAATACTTTTTAAAAATAAATATTGATAATAATTTTATTATATTTTATTGTTTGTTTATAATTTTGATTGCGAATATATATATAATTTTGATAATGGTCATATAATACATGTTAATCAATATTATGAATAATATTTTTTATACTATCAATATAAATTTATTTTCTCGATATGATATATTGTGACAATATTGATTTCTAAGGTTTTTATATTTATTCTTATAACACATTCTTAATTTTATTTTATTCATAGAAAATGGTTGAAACAATATTTAATGATGATAATTACAGATTATTTTTTACTTACAGGATAATATAACATAGTGATAATCGATTTTTGAGACACTATATCAATCTTTCTTATTTAATATAACGAATAAATTAACAATAATATATATATATATATATATATATATATATATATATATTTTTTTTAGTTTCATCATTACATAATCGAATTCTATTTTTTAATATATCGAGAGAAATTAATTCCTTATTTATAAGTATAAGTTTTGTTCTATTTATAAATTCACTACTCAATTTTATATATATATATATATATATATATATATATATATATATATATATATAACGAAATTAATAATATAAAAGAAAGTAGATGACAAAACAAATAAGCGATTCTATATATGTAAAAGAGGATTAATTTAATATACTTTTAATTTTAGAACTAAATTATATGTTAACCTTTTGGTTTTAAATAATTTATTTTATTTATTTTCAGGAGAAATTTATAACTACTACTACTAATAATAATAATAATAATTTTGTCACTAAACAAGAAACACTCTCCACTCACAACTTTCCCTTACTTATTATCTCTTCATTCATTCTTACTTCAAAATGTAATAAGAAAATATTTAGAAAAAAATAAATATATATATATATATATATATATATATATATATTATTTTTTCTTAAACTTGGTCCTTCGTATTTATGAATTTAGTTCTTCAATTTTCACGAATACGTGATTTTTTTATATTTAACTTTAATATTTAGTAGTAATTTTTTATTTTTAACAGAATTGATTAGAGAATTAAATATGATTTTAATTCTTTTTATATATAAATTTAATATTCATAGTACTTTTGTACTTGTTTCAAATTAATAAAAGTACTATACTTACATACTTTTTAAAATTTAAAAACTATTTAATCAATTTTTAAAATATAAAATTAAAATTAAATAAAGGGAATAAAAAACATGTTTAACTCAAGTATATATTAATCACCAGATTTGATCACATAAAAATGGTTATGATTCCTGTGCATGGGTTTAAACTCCTTATTTATTAAACTTTCTGAGTGGATATTTCCTCTTAGGCTTTGGGATAGAATTGAGGGACTAATATGATAACATCTTCACAAATAATATAACACCAAGTGTTACATATTAGAAACTATAGATTTTAATATTATTTTAGAATCTATGATTTATTTTATCCGCTCAATCGAATACGGTTGAAATAGGTGATAAATTCTTAATCATAGATTTTATATTTCAAATTTTGAATTTTTTTTTAAAATATTATACTTTTTCGATAGTATTTGAAAATACTTTCGAGAATATTCGATAGCATGATGATGGATTGATAGGGGTTTTCATGGCATGGAATAAAAGACAAAAGATTGCATGGAATACTCTTTCAGACATTCCCACCGGGAGAATAACACGTTTACAGCTAATGGAAGATATACAGATGAGTTTGGTTAAAGGATAAGACTTTTTTTTAAGCATCTCTCACTTAATAAACCAAAAATGAAATCTTTGCATATACTGTCAAGCATTAAACTAAAAAGTAGGGACTTTGCGACACTTCCGTTGTGATTTGATGATGATCCATCCACGTTTATGTTTCCCCACATTCACAACAGCTTCAAAAGTTTGTCTCACTTGTTTTATTCGCTGGTTTGATCTTTTTGGTCTGAGCTCAAAACTCAAACTCCATTTTACACTCTGTAAAGTAAGTTTATGCTTGGCCTTTTTTAAACACAGACCTTAATCATGTTTAGTGATTAATATTTATTCTCCTAAAATCTAAAACAAAGGAATCATTAACAAGCCATTTGTACTTAATGTCCCTACTAGTACAGTACTAGTGAACAAAAAGCATTTAAAGGGTAGTTTAGGTATTCACCATCTTGTTTATATCTAGCTTTTGTAATTTGAAGAACTCATTTCTCCAACCCAACAATTTTCAGAATTTATTAAACTAACCTTCCAAATAACCCTAAATCTTTTATAAAATTACTTAATTTTTATTTATTACTTTTAAAATGAAATTTTGTCATTTTTCATCAAACAAAAAAGTATAAATTTTTATTTAATTTTTTTTTCTTTACACTTTCTTTCTCTTTACAATTGTATACAAACCAAGTTAAAATAATACTCTTATAGAGCCACCCGTGCTTCTCAAGGTACAACCCTATGGAAGGTTCTAATTAACACCCCTTGGATGGACTTGGCGTAATTCACAATCCTATTGCCTTCATTACAAATTTTAACACAGCTAGATGTCACAGGAAACTAAAAAACTCGTGTTTCTCTCATTCATGTATGCATCACACAGCAGTTGCAGCCAGCAACCTTCAAGCAATTCAGAAACTAATCCTCCTCTGATCTTATTAATAATATTATGTACAATTAGTTCAGTTAATCAAATTATGTTTACATCATGAACCACGTCTCAATTTCATTCATCAGAGAAAGTGGTGACAAAGACATATCAAATGGTGGGCTATTCACATCATATCATGAATACTATCTACAATAGGGAGAGCAATATGAACAAAATATTAAAAAGTCACTGGAAAATAATACATAATGAAACTAGCCATCAACAATGCTCCGATCTACACTCGAATCTGTGCCCGAATGATGATCCATAGAAATATGATCTGGAAATGCGGTTAAGGACGTGGCTGGTGTGGATTCATCATCTCCAAGTTCAGAAGCTGAACTACCAGCATCCATCTCCTTCCCTGGACACTCATCTTGGACACATTCAGCAACTTCATTGTTGTAATTTTCAAAATCATGACTCCTGTTTAAGGGTGTCACATCTTCTTTCTTGACAACATTAAACACAATGCCATTATGGATCCTTTCAGGCTGCAAAAAATCACCAGCAGTCACTAGTATGCTGGACCCATTAACCACCCTGCTGCCAATTTCCCTTTGCTCAGATTCTGTGCTATCGGAGTTCCTATCCAGAGTTGTGAGCCTGGGGCTACGATACTGAAATTCATTAGGGTTAGCATGACTTACTACGACTTTATTTGATTCAGTATCAACTTCTAAGTTTTGGAGAAAATCGATGAACATATTTGCCGATGTAGTTCTCATCAAAGGCCCACCAGATCTTGTCCAAGAGTTCAAATCAACACTTTCAGAGTCACTGTCACTTCCTTCGTGAATGCCACGGTGGGTCTTCCTAGTTTTACCACTGGTCACATTGGAACTGCTAATACTTTGATGCAAAGAGGAAGCAACATCAGTAAGGTCCTCAAGGGAGCCGCTTGAATTCTCTCTTGCAATGCAATTCCATGAAGGAATTCTTTTAGAAGCACTGAACTTGACAGTACTGGACAAACCATGAGAAGCGGAAGCAGCCCTCGCAGCACTTCTTTTTAGCCTTCTCATGTGATTGAGAATCAGTACACACTCATCAAGGGCAAGCTCAATGCCACAATTTGCTTTTATGGCTGAAAGTTTCTCCCATGTACATCTTCTCCCTTGGTTGGCCGCCTTTTGAAGCTCTCCATAAGAAGGGTTCTGTATAATTTTGGTGTACTGGAACAGGACACAGTCATAATTACTAACTGAAGCATCTTTTAGTAAATGAAGCATATACTCCTAAACCCTTTAGTAAAAATGTGTTAATATAGAAAGAACAATTGTTACCATCAATGTTCAAAATATAGGATAGCGGAAAACCATATATATCCATATATATATAGAGAGAGAGAGAGAGAGGGGGGGGAGAAACTGTTGAATCCAAATCTACACAACCAAATCTTCTTCTCTATTTTTTCCGTTTCCTTCTTTTGCATTGCACTATCTGTTGTGGGAATCAAAAGACTATTGAAGCATCATTTTAAAACACTACCAACATACCTCTAGCTGATTAGTGTAATGTGACCAATATCCCTTTCCCATTTCTTTTACGCACCGAAATATTGTGCAACATCTGTACACTTCCAATGATAAAATTCTTTGCACTCATATTTTTTAAAATCAGTGACTAAATTTTGGATGCGAAACTGGCAGAGGTGTTTGATGTGTTGTTCAACTGTCTTTTGGTCCCCACAACAGAGAACAAGAAGAGAATTGAATGGCCATATGAGAGGTGACGGTGAGTATTTTAAGTGAGGAATTTAATCTGAACCAAAGATTTAGATCCAGTCGTTACTATTAAACTCTCTTACATCTCACAAAAAAACCTTTTTCTCACCGGATACGTCCTTTCTCTAAATTTACAAATCAACATAACAAAAATCTAAATTGAGAAATAAATGAGGTTTATTCAGTCACTTACTGAAAACAAAAATTGTTTATTTTAAGTTTGACAATTTTCATACGTTAATGATCATCACAAAAAAAATAAAAAATTAGAAGGATTTGAGGAGAAAAAAGTATTTTTTAATTCAGACACAGCAGGGTTATCTGACTCATGAACAAGATATGTAGGAGAGTATCCAGGCCATGTCGGCCAGGTGTCCCACATAGAAAATATTTTTAAATTGAGACAAGACAGGAGGGTTGTTCCTCACACGTGTCATACGCCATTCAGCAGGAGGATTATTTCACCATGTTTGCAAGGAAACTTCAAAGATTTTTGTAACCAAAGGCTTGGAAACCACTAGCACTTTCATTTGAATTGGTATCTAGCTTAAGTTATTTTCTCCTTCATTTTCTAGCTGATATTTTAATGTTGCTGACGTACATACCTGAGCAAGAGTTGCAGGCATAACAACAGTCACATCACCTTCCCAGTCTTGAGCAAACAACTTAGCAAGTCCACCTAATGGAAAACCAAGTTCCAGTATTTGATTACATCTATGTTTGACCTCCATCTCTACAAGATGAGCAAGCTGAAAAATCAAAATCCACATTTAATAGAATCATTATGTAGTAAGAGTAGTTAACAAGTTTGATGCCTTATAAATGATGAATGTCAACTGGCAAAGGATACAACCACTTCCCAGTCATGCAAAGGATAACACCATTACTAATTTTCACAGTATATAATTTGGATTCAAAATCCTGTATATGCAGCTAATCTTCAGACTAAAGGGAATCTCCGTCACTGGAATGAATGGGAACCAAAAGAAATGAGGGGAATTTTACAACTGTTTCAACACAAAGTTTATGCTACAAACATATATATTCTTCAATTAAAAAATGTAATGGCACTAAACTGCCAGCATAAAGGATTAAACACGTACAAAGATGCGACAATATTGTGTGATGTTGCAAATAGGAGAGCAATGATCTCTTATTGCGGTCTAAACTCATGCATGGATTTTCCCTACAAGTTGTAAGGGAGTGAAGTTGGAGAGAATAAAACTCCATAGGTTTTTCTTTTTCCAACAATAAATAACAAGTACATGATGCATGATATTTCAGAGACAGAAGGAGACATGCACAACAAAATAACATGCATGAATAAAGCATAGAAAAGCCAAATGGGTCAAATTGGTTTGAGATAATGTTTTATTTTGAGTTTATTTCTTATTATTCTAAAGTTTATATAAGAAAAATGAAAAATAGAAAATGAAACAGTAAACAACAAGAAATTGTTCTCTTTTCTATATTAACTTTTGAAAACAGGAAACGGAGTGAAAATATAAATTGTTTTTTTCAAACCAAACTGCCCCTAAGGCATAAAGAGCATAATAAGAACAAGGATGACCATTCATAAAACTTAAAGAAAACTGTTTAAAAAGTAAGTCAAACAGTGATAAACTATCTTAAACATCAACTAAGGGCTTGGGGAGGGGGAATTGTAACAGGTCACGGGAATTATAGAATAACAATGCATTTAAGAAGCAGATATACACAATGCGAGTAAACATAAACATGTATATGAATGTAATATACGTTGTATGCGCACGAAAATCCAAGTTCATTAATGTGTACCTTGGCAGCAAAGTTTCCCCCATAATTCCGCACAAATTCTTTCAATCTCAATAATGGTGCAATATGAGGGTTGGCCTGGCTAACTATAAAATGATTGACATTGAATAGTTCTTTCAACTGCATCATAGGTAAATCAATCTCTAAGCTACCATCCCTCCAACGGCGCGCTGGTGTGGAGCCCTCTTCAGGACCTAAGTTAAATGGAGGATGGTAAGGAACAATCTCCCCACTTCTATCCTTTGCCATCAACTCTTGAGCCTCAAAAAGACCAGGAAAGGCACAAGATGCAGTGACTGCACTCCATATAACCACATGGGGTGAAGTCAAGTAGTTAAGACATCTAGGTGGTTCGTGCTTCCTTGGGGAACAAACCGTGATTCCAAGAATTCTACCTGTCATGTCATAAGCTTCTTGAAAGGTAAGGTTGCTTGTCAGATGCCTCAACATCATTTGCAACTGTCTAATCTCATGAACAGCACCAAATGTTGTGACTCTCTTTACAACTGTAAAAATCCCACCCATTTGATCAAAAAATTGCAATGAGTGCCAGGAATCTTCGAAAAAGCTCTGAAGCTCAGGCCAAGTCCTAGTGGCAACAACGGCACACATAATGGATCCCACACTTGAACCAGCAATTATCCTAGGCAAGAGTTTATGCTCTACCAGTGTTTTAACTACACCCACATGAGAAGCTCCAAGAGAAGCACCCCCACTTAACAGCAAAGCAGTCCTCCCAAATGCATGCCTAGTTTCATGCATGAAAGCAAGCTTTTCTTCCAATGATAGCTCCTCCGAATCAGAACCACAGACCATTCTCAATTGAGTCGTTACTTCATCAATGTATTCCTTGATTAATTTGGGCACCTGAAGCCTACCCTTGTGTAGTTCAGGATTACACATATTACCTAAATTTCTAACGAGATCGGCACGCATACAAAATATTATATCTCTAAGAGATCCCTCTTGCCGACGGTGGCGGAGCTCTTGAAGCTTGTTCCTCACCAATTCCACATCATAAAGGTCTGATTCATTCATCTTTGTTGTCTCTTTATCAAGCATCTTAGCTGCATGAGCCCACTCCTCATAGGTCAAAGCAGATCTCATCATATTTCTCCAAAACTTCCTCCTATACGCCATTTCAGCCCTTACTTTCACATTTGTATATCGTTTCAACAAGAAAGCAACAATTGTCATCATTGCCAGTATCCCCTGAGGATTTCTGGGATGCAACCATGATATAAAGGATGCCAAACCCCCCCTAAACCTATAGAAGAGATCTAACAGCACATGAAATATCTGGTGCCTAAAATGTGACATGGACTTACAAAATAGAACCCTGAAAGCAACCGTTCTCCCAATAATGTCTGAAGGACCTATTGGAAAACGGTCAACTCCAGCCTCATTACTAATATGATCCATTCTCCCTCTATCAAAAGAGAATAATATCCTTCTCACAAAACAAAACTAAAAACTACCAACGTATCAAATAACATATGATAAAGTCAATATAGTAAGATTCTGACGTTAGAATCAAATAGTACACAATGTGAAAAGGTAAGGCTGATGAAAATATTACACAGAAAACAATTCACTTGTGTGTTTGTCCTGTGTTTAACTCGAAAACTCCTCTAATCCCTGACTCAAACCAAATTAAATTAAAGAAAGAAAAGGAAACTAAAAAGACTATGCAACAAAACAGTACTATAAGTCCTTGTTTTTCTTCCAAGCCCAAGAAACCTAAGAACCACGCTCACAACTCCAAATCAGATACCCAAAACTTTTCAAATAAAAAAGATGAATTTTTTAAACAACCCCTGGAACTATATCGTTGATCTCCAAAAGAAATCTTTGTGCAGAGCCAAAAGGGTAACAAATTTTTGGTCTTATAATTAAGAATGGATGAGACTGGGAGAAGGGTGGCATTGGGATCTGGGAAGAGGGGATAAGATACCCATACGGTGACGGGGAGCCTCGTCATGAAAATGGTGACGTGGATAGCATACGGACGGCGAATGAAGCATATCCAGATTTATGGTTCGTTAGAGAATTGACTCACTTGATAAGGAAAAAAGAAAAGGTCACACAGTCAGAAACATAGGTTTTGGTTTGTCGTAGCGATGCAACTTTGAAGCCTAACTTTCTAATTGGATAATGTTATCCATTTATGGCTTGCCACAGCATGGGGTACAACATCAGTCACTTAAAACAAACTAGAAAAACATGTTCTTTCTTTTCCTTCCACGAAAGAAACAGAAAACGGGCCACTCAACAAAATAATTTATTGTTTGGAAAGAGTCTAATTAGAATGCCATACCCTATAAAATGTCAGATTTTCTGTATCAGTTAATATGGTTTATTGGGCTTTCTATCAGACTCATTTCAAAATTTACTCTATCATCCCCCACTAATTAATAGTAAATGCACGATTAAGATGGATCTTTTTTATACATTAATAGGGATTTTTTATGAATTGTTGACTCAAACGGGTATTTTTTTTTTAGAAAATACATGTATTTTTTATAAAAAGTAATTTTGTTTGAGTGAAGTAAAATGATTATGAAAAATAAAATTAATATACTTACATATTTAAAACTTAAATTCGAAATTAGTAATTAAATTAACCATGACATAATGACACTGAAAAATGAAGTTAAATTTGACCAATTAGTTACATATGGAAGTTTCAAGAAGAACCTCTTTCCTCAAAGTCAAAATATCATTGTTGCTTTCAATGAAATAAATATTAATGATATTGAAAAAAACTTAAAATTCATATTTTAGAATATATTATTTCGTCAAAATGGATTATTATATATCAAACTGAATACATAAAATGTGTTCACGTATAACTTACGTATCCATATTTAAAACGACCTATATGTAAAACAGGACTATCCCTGTAGACAAAGGTTTATTAAATAGAAATAAAACAATTCCAAATCAATAATAAAAAATGGTTTCATTCCCTTCCTTAAACTGATTGTATTATGCAGTGATTTTATTTCAATAAAATCTAATATTCTCATCTTCTTTCTAAGTTTTTGGAAAGTCTTTAATTTCAAAGCTTTACTCATTACATTTGTAAGTTGTTCTTGAATTTTAATATACCAACTCAATTTTTCTAGTAAAATCGCACTTTGATATGTTTACCTCTTTTATATATAACTAGATTTTTGAAAGTTTAATAGTTAAATCGTTATCGCACATGAAAACAGTGTTGTATTGAGAATGAGTTAAAAATATGAAAACTTTTCTCATCCATATTGCTTGACAATCATTGACCGTAGTCATTACAAACTCTGTCTCTGTACTTGAAAGAGTAACAATTGGTTATTTATTGAACATGCATGATACTACTCTTGAACTAAATAGGGAACACATAACCAGATATGCTCTTAGAGTCATGACTGAAAAATTCATCAATAAATGTTACAAAATATCAAAAGTCAAATAAAGAGACATAATTCGGTCCCCAAACATCAGAATGAATATTTGAAAAAGGAAAATTACATGAAGTTTTAGAATGTTTAGGAAAGATAAACCTAACATGTTTTCCTAATTGACAAGATTCACATTCTAAATCACGAAGATGTTTGAGATTAGGAGTTATTACTTTTAACTTTGGTAAACTTGGGTGACCCAGACGATCATGCAAAAGTTTAGGAAAAGGAGAAGTAATACATGACACCGAAGGACTTAGATTTAGATAATACAGACCACATGATTCATGATCTTCTTTAATCAGACAACATGTACCATGTTCCTGAATAACAAAAGAATTGGAATTAAATGTTACAGAACAATTCAGAGAATGAGTCAATTGACTTAGAGAAATCAAGTTATAAGGGCTAGGAATGAAAAGAACAAAATTTAAATTCAAAGAAGGGGTTAAAGGAACATGACCAATTCCTTGTGATTTTATTTTAGATTCATTAGTCACAGTAATTAGGTGAGGAATTTTTAGAATAAGACATGGAGGAAAATGAGGAACTGTTACTAGATATATGGTCAGAGACACATGAATCAAGAATCCATAGGTTTTAACCTTCCATAGATTGAGAGATGCATGTTGTTGAAACACTAGGCATGAAAGAAGATTGACCCTGACTGTTTAATTTTCCTGATTTAAATTTCAAAAACTCTTGATACTTCTCAGAAGAGATTTTCAAATCCGGTTTTTTAGATTTAGAAACATGGGAAGTCGTATTCCTAGTAAGAAAACCGTGTAAGGAATAACAGTTTTCTTGCGTGTGCCCTATCTTCTTGCAATAAGAAGATTGAGGACGACCTTTTATAGTAGCATAAAAAGAAAAAAAACTAGATGAAGTCATTTATCTGAAACAGAGATAAAAGATAAACCTAACAAATAAGATACCCACGTGACCTATCTTCCAAAGTTCTCAAAACAAAAAAATAAGGGCACCCACAAGACTCGGAGGGCGCCGACGAGAAGGGAAGGATCGCGCGTAACAGCGTGTGGGGCAGCTGATGGAGGAGCGACTTGCAGGAGTAAGTTGCGCTCTTCGAGGCGCACCAAATCCTACCTTCACAGGACTAAACTAACACAATGGTCGGCGATAGATGGTGACGGACGACGACTGGAGATGATAGGAATGACAAGAAATTACTACGAGATCATCCCAACTTTGATACCAACTTGAGAAACTTATTTAGGGTTTCCAATACAGTGTCAAAAGATATTGTTACATTGTATTTATAGATAAAAGAGATACAATAGAGAGAATATGAGTCTCAGCCCAAACATTTAACCCTAGTCTAAGGAAAGATAAAAAAACATCATATCTTAGTATCTCCTCCTTGAAAACTATTATGTTAACTTCATCAATTCATCACAGAAATAACATACATACAAGGATAATACATGATATTTCTCACATTTCAAAAATATATTTTTCCTATACATATATTAGCACCCAACACACATTATTTCATGTTGATAACATGTATTTTAATATTTTAAAGCATATACACATCATTTCTCACATTATAACAAAACATAATTTTTTTCTGATTTGACATTTACCTATTCTTTTTATTATAACTTTTTCTATAGACATCCTTTTCAACTAATTTTTATTTTATTGGATTCCTTATTTTTGAAGCTTCAATATTCATATATAGAACCTTAAATTTGGAGTTCAGAGATATTTTTTATGATTTTTTGAAAATTGTTGGGCAAATTAGAAAGTGCTAAGAAGATTTCAAAGCGCTGGGTGGATTTTAATGCACTGAGCAGATTTGAAAGAACCTCTAATACTGTCCAAAATTCGTTGGGCGAATTTGAAAGCGTTGAGCGCATTATAAGCACTTTCAATACTATCTTAAATTCGCTAAGCGAATTTAAATCCCTGGTCATCGTAAAGACTACATAATCTACTCAATACCCTGTTTCTAATGTTTCAAATCAAATTAATTCTAAAGCTTACTCTCTTTATTGTAAATCAATTCACTAATTTTAATCTAGGAGCAATACATTCATACAAAAGACTATCTTTTTCAATCTCATATAAATCAACTATACATTCACATTCAATACAATCACTATCAATCAATACGTATATAGTCACACAATCCAACTTCCTAAAACTTAAACAATGTGACCAACTCACCTTCACAATCCATATCTTCTAGCCTAGAATACTATGAAAATTGAAGATTTACTAAGTTCCCTTACCTTCCAATTTCAGTGCTCTCAAGCTTGAAAGTTCCAAATTCTCAATTTCTTAGAGAATTAGATCGTCCTCACATAAAATCTCATTAACAAATCGAACATACTACAATGCTCCTAAATTAATCAAGATTCATCTTCATTCCACCAAGGTCACATGCAAGACTTGAATGCCCACATACAAACCTTAGCCCCAAAGTTGTAGAAATACTCTACAATTGGGGAAAGAAAAACTTACTTTATTTAAGATTCTGATCGGATGGAAATATTCCCCTTGTCACTAGGAACACAATGATATACTTGGATCTAGAAAAATATAACAATTGGGTAAGGAAGTTTTAAAGAGAAGTCAAAGAATTTAAAGTCTAAAGAGATGGTGGTTCTTTAGAAATGAAGTTTAAAACATAAGAGTTTTCTATTTAAACTATTTTTATAACAAAGGTAAAAACTTCAAACTTTACTTTATTTAACTACTGTTTCTCTTTAAATTACTAAAGTCTCGGTCCTTACACATTCTAAAAACAATAATACACCCAATCAAAAAAAGTCAAAAGTTATTGAAAATTCAATTGAGTTAAACTCTTACATTGAAGATAAATAGAAAAGTTGAGTAATTTATAAGTGAAAAAAACTCATAACCTAATGTCTTAAGGTTTTTAGATTAAAAGTGATGTCATATTCTCTTATATGACTTTAGATTAATAACTTATTCTTGGACAAAGATAATTGTTTTCAATATTTGTTAAGTTGATTTAATTTTATGTGTATTATATGTTAACGAGAGTCAAATTGATGTTTCAAGTATTTCAATATTCATCTCCTCTATCAGAACATGATATTACACAAATTAGAGAGTAATTAACAAATTTTTTTTTTCAACATTTTTAATACTTAGTTTTTAGGTTATTGTTTGTATTATATTGTATTGTATTATGTAATTTAACATTTATGTATTTTAATTTTTGTACTAGTTTAGTCTTATATTAATTTAGTTGTGTAATGTTTAACTTTTAAGTAGTTTAATCTTTATATTAGTTTAACTTTTATAGTTTATATTATATTGTATTGTTGTATTTTGAATTAGTGTCTATTGAAAATCTAAAATGTAGACCATCTATGATTAAATTATGTTTGTAGGTTGTTAGACAAAACAATCTAAATATTAAAAGAAATAAAGAAATTTATGTTGGATGTGTCAATACTTGACGTAAACTTATGTCCGGTATTGGTACACTTGACGTACATTTCGTTCTATTTTTTTATTTTTGAAACTCATTTACATATATTTCTTACATTTTCCGTGAAAATTAGCGTTGATTGTCCACATAACTAACATAAAATAACATCAATCTTTATATCCAATGAAAATTTACGTCTCACACATTAACATCAAATTTATGTTTAAAAAATCCAAAAACAAACATAAAAATCCTATTTGCTTAGTTATTTTTATCTAAAATCAAATAACAACTATAACTTTCTAAAAAATCTTTCGTTCATAATAAAATAATTAAAAACAATAATTTACTTGAATTACTCTATATACCAAAAATAATATAATAATTCTTATTGTGTCTCGTTATAAGTAATAACGATTAATTTTGTGCAAATAAAAAAAAATTTAAGGAATTCAAAGCAACCCACGTTAAAAAATAATTTATAATTTTTATGCTTATTATTATAAAATAAATAGTTTTTATTCTCAAAAAAATATTTCTTTTATAAAAAAAATACAAATTTTAATTTGAAATAACTAAATATATGATCTAAATTTACTCTAATAAAAAAAATATTCAATATAAAATATTAAAATACTCTAAAAATAACTAGTTCGGTGACATACATCCCGTAATAATTGTTCTTAAAAATTACCTTATTATTTCGTTTTCAAAATTTGTTTGTATTTTTCCTATTGAATTAAGTGTGGCGTGAAACGAAAAAACTACCTTTTGAATTAAAGCTCTAGTTCTTATTATTAGATTATATTTTAAAGTAATGTAATTCGAATGCATGTTAATTATGATCTATAATTAATAAACTATATATCTATATCAATATTTTATATAATTAATTGAAAAGTTATATTATTAATATAAATAATAAAGTATATGTATTATACTAAAAATATTATTTATAATGAATCAATTTTTAAAAATATAAATTAATAAAAATATTTTTAATATCTATTTATTTATATTCATATTGATTATATTAATATGTTTGAAGATTTATTTCATTTTAAAATATGTTTTATAAACAATTTTAGTTTATATTTCAAAAAAATCAGTGTATATTTTGAGGTATTAAATCTTGTAATGATAACTTTTAAGTAATAAACTCTTTTAAGTAAACTTTATTAATATAAAAGGCTACACATAATAACTTTGAATAGTTTTTTTTAATTTATTTTATATTAAATTTAATATTATGATTAAGTTAATGTTTGAATGTAGTGTTTAACATAGAAGCAAGATTAAGTATTAAAATTTTGCGTTTACACTTTCTGTAAAATACAAAAATTAGCTAGCATAGGTAAAAATTTCATTCATAAGAGAATTATAAAAATTTAAAAAATAAACAAATTTCAACTTGGGAGGATTAGAAAAAATAATTAGATTTGAGAATTAAAATTGCATTAAAAATTTAAATAAATCACATAAATCTTAATATATATAACATTACATAATTTTATGTTAATAATTTAATATATTAATAATTATTATTATACTCAACCTTTGTACATTGTAACTACATTCCTTATTACTACTATGGCAATGCAATAATAAAGAGATGTTTTCTCTTTTTAATTTCCACATCCAAACTTCAATTAATACCTGTTTATAATTATTTTTATTATAAATTATTAAGATTTGTTTGATTTAATTTTAATATTTAATTTTTAAAAATAATTTTAAAAACTCATTTTTAAAAATAAGTTAAAAAAATTATTTGATGATATTTTTAAAAATTATTGTAGATAAAAGAGAATGATAACAATATTTGACAATCATAAAAAAATTGACATATAATTTTTATAATTCTATAATAATAAAAAAATAATTTAATATAATTATTATGGAAAATGTTGATATATAAATAAAAACAAATAACTAAAATAAAAAATAATTTTTATCAATTTTTTAGTTTTTAAAGATTCAAAACAAAACTAATATATAAAAATTATTTTAATAAAACAGTTTAAAATATTTTTTTTTTAAATTTCAAATACTCAAAAAATGTTATTTTAAATAATAAACAAATTCTTAGTGAGTGCTTAGATGGATGCTAATAATATTTATTTATTAGTAATATAATTAATATTGTCATGTTTTTATTATAAAACAAGATGTAATAAAAATTTGTCAAAAGATTATAAAATAAGTTTTTTATTGAAAACTAAATATGTAAAAATTTATATTAAATAATCTCAATTGTTGGTTTAATATGCCTTTAGAAATTTACTAATGTTAATATTTTTGAAAGTAAGATGTATTTAAACAAAATAAAAATCTTTATTAAAATATTAAAAAGAGTTTAAAAACACATTAATATAATATTAAATAAAAAAAGAAAAGAAATATATACATCAATTATACAATTTTTTTTATTAATAGATGACATTAAGATCTTTACATGAAATAGATTCCATCAATTACGGGTGAGCAAATAGTTGGTCCCACCGTTTTGATCTCATCATAAATAAACGCGTAGTGTTTTCTACACAGACCACACTTCATCTGTCCCATGCCAACTATTACTCCTCGGATCTAAACTGTCACAGAAGAAAAATACTATAATATTAAAATCTTTATCATAATAATTAATTAATTAATGCACCATACATTTCAATTGTCATTCTAATTAATAAATATTTAATAATACCATCAGTATTAACATTTAAAATAAAAAGGAGTAACACCCATGACTCAATGAACTTGGAGAATTTCACTGATGAGTGTGTATATGTAAGAACACTGGTTTTTAGAGCAGGTTCTTATAAATAAGAACTCAAATCCAAGTCTTTTATTATTGAAATTTTCTTTCTTACAAAAGAATTCTAAAGAAGACGTTTTTAAACAATAAAAAATAAATGTTAATATTTCTAATAAATTGAATATAGAAGAAAACTAGATGAAGAAGTTTAAATGAATTATTCATATTAAATAAGTAATAATAAAGTTTCTTAGTATCCTAAGTAATAATATAAGACTGAACATATATGTTTGAAAACCATGTTTGATGGCAGAGATATTCTAAGAAAGCAACAGTGACATTTGTGAGAAGAATGTAAAACAGGAAGGAGTAGTTTCCACGTCGAGGTAATTGAATTGAAGAGGCCAAGTCAATTCCACAAAATAGACTCTTCCCTCTCCTACCCACTGGTCAAGCACCTCCAGGTCCCATTTAGCATTCTTTTTTATCTTTTGACATGTTCAATTCTAAACTTAAAAGTCAAAAGCCACTCTTTTTTATTTTGTTAATTTAACTATTATTCTAATAATATTAATATGATTAATATCTAGTCATGTTACAATTTCAGAAATCAAAGACAACTGTCTAAAAATTTGACACTCTGGATTCTCTATCTCAGTTTTCTTTGCAGAAAAGAAAGGCAATAACTCTATTCTCTGTTCTCTTTTCCCAGGCTACACTCTTTTTTCCCGTACCAACTAAGGGTAGAACAAAATACCATTTCACAATCTCAAGCATAATCGAAACACATAATCAGGTAGAACATATATATATATATATATATATATATATATATATATATATTTATTTATTTTATTTATTTTTGTCACTTCTATTTGTTTTCGTTGGTGTGGTTTTTATAATTTTTCATTCCATGATTTTGATTCCATGAATTGGACAGATTCTGCAGAATGAAGGTTGAATTTGAAGGCAGCCAGAGTGATTGTGGTGAATCGCAGGGAGTGTCTGGGACAGATGAATCTGTGTCCACCCAGCAAGAAAGTAGAAGATTGGAATCCAAGAAGAAACTGAAGAAAGTGCGGTCAATAAGGCTTGTAAGATTGCCAAGCAAGAGATCATTCACTAGAGGCAGACCCCAATATGATCATCTCTCCTTTCTCTCAACAGTTAGCACAGAAAGTTCAGAGGGGCAAACACCACTTGACATGGCAGATGCTTCACCCAGAAAGGTTTCTGCAAGGACTGAACCAAAGAGAAAACTGAAGTCCTCTAGATCAATCAAGCTTGCAACTGTCAAGGGCCAAAAGTCAACAAGAAAGTCATCTGAATCTAGTTATGGCAGTGGTGACCAGAATTGGAGGAGTGCAAGTGATTCTGGTAACAAAACCCAGAGAGTCATTACCAGAAGATTAAGCTTGAAGCCTGTGAGGATCTTAGCAAAGATTCCCACTTTCAAATCAAATAACTCTTCCATGGAGAGGGGCCATCAGATATCTCAATCCCCAGACACAAGCTTGCTTAGAGCCACTTGTTCTTCAGCTCTGAAGGATTCCCATTTTCCTGATAACATTGACATCCCTCAAGAGGAAAGTGACTCTCAAGGAGTATCAGCTGTTGTGAAGGTTTGCCCATATTCTTACTGCTCACTTCATGGTCACCGCCATGGGAATCTGCCTCCATTGAAGCGCTTTGTGTCAATGAGGAGGCGCACGTTGAAGAGCGAAAAGCCAACGAAAATGGATCATCAACATGTTACTAAATCAAATCAGAATGGTAATGCAAAGAAAGCCACTCGGAAAACTCAAACTGTCCACACTAAAGGTGCCAAATCTCATTCTCAGAACAAGAAAAAGCTGACAAGGGACTCATCCATTAGGCCTCATGACAGTCCAGACTCCACAGTTACTGATAGTGTGGAATCAACATCAACAGATGTAGTTCAGCTTTCTGCTCCTGATATTGAGATATTGGAGGGAGAAGTGACCAATACGGACAAAAGTATGGAGCCAGATTATGAAGTACTGGAGGTGAGTTCTGTAAAGAAAGAGTCTACACATGCTAGCACTACTGATATGGCAGGTGGGGAAAAAGATAAAAAGTATGGTAACATGTGGAAGTTGGTTTACAAGCATGCTGTATTAAGTGACACAGGGAAATGTGAAAAGAAGCAGTCCTTTGATGAGAAGGACAAGGAAGGCAGAGAGCAAGATTCCCTTGCAACTAATGAAGTGAACAACTCTTATTGTCGTGATAATTGCGACACAGATCAGGATATCGATGATGAAAATAAGAATGTAGTAGAGCTGGTGCAGAAAGCATTTGATGAAATTCTTCTCCCAGAGCCTGAAGACCTCTTTTCTGATGATAATTTCAAATCTGAAGGCGCTGATTCAGATGAGGTACTCTTAGCAAAGAGTGAAGGCAAGAGTGTATCTCCAGTAGCACAGAGGATAGGGACCAAATCTGACCAAAGAGCACCAAAAAGCTGGAGCAATCTGAAAAAGTTAATCCTCTGGAAAAGGTTTGTAAAGGCATTAGAGAAGGTGAGAAATATCCAGCCCCAAAGACCAATACGTTTTCCTTCTAATGCTAACTTCGAAATAGAAAAAGTTTTTCTTAAGCACCAAACAGCCGAAGACAAAAAGAATGATGAGGAATGGATGCTTGACTATGCACTTCAAAAGGTTATTTCTAAGCTTGCACCTGCTCAAAGACGAAGAGTGACACTTCTAGTAGAAGCTTTCGAAACAATTCAGCCATTTCAAGATGTTGAAAATAGTCCACGATTATCTGCAACATCGGAGCCTCGAGCAAATTCAATTCAATCCCTTGACAATTCCTCAAATCATAGCAAGGAAGAAGCATCACTTTCTCATAATAATACCATGGAACTGGCAGATAGTGGTGGTGATGATCCAATGATAGAACTGCACAACCCTACTATGCTCAAAGAAAGATGTCTCGACCATCCTGAGACCGAGACAGTCAATTTTATGCCTGCATTTGGAGATATTGCAGAAGACATAAATGGAAAGCAATGTTTAACTAGCAGTTATGATAATGAGAATAAGTTATCAAGTGACAATGATAATACTTTTGTTGGAGAGATCAAAGATACCAGATCAAATTCCTTAAATATGCCAGCTGATTTTATAAGAAGCAGTCACGTGGAGGCTACACCCAATGCAACAGTCAATGATGTTTCAGAAGACTTGCTGTTCAGTTTGAATACAGAAAATCATCATATCAAATATGAGTCACCGGGAAGAGATGTTGAAACCAAGAATCTGATTGCTGACAATGGGGAAAAGCTTTCTATTTCTAAAAGTTTAATCCTAGAAGGTCTAGTTAGATCACTCAGATCTAATTTGATTGGTTCAGGAGCACCTGCAAACCTATCAGATGAATCAACAGCTGACGAAAACAAAGGAAATGAAAAAGTTAAGTTTGGAACCGAGACTATTGAAGAGTTCCCTACAAAGGAACAATCGAAAGCTCCTACGAGTGCTGTTGTAGAACCTGAGACCCCAGTGGAGAAACAGAACAACACAGGATTGTGGTACTTGGTATATAAACACATGGTATCAAATATGGCTGAAAACAATTCTAAGTCACTAATTGGTGAGGGAGATGAGAAAGAGTCAGCATTTGATGGAAGCAGAACACAAGAATCTTCTATCTCCAGTGAAAGTACACCTTTTACTGATCAAGACATGCAATTCAAGGACCATGCTGTAGCTGATCCAGAAGTTGCACTCCAACAGATTGAAGCCATCAAGATGGTAGAAGAAGCAATTGATTCAATTCTTCCAGATGATCAGGATGACTTAGCAGACAAGGAGTCACTCACTGGCAACACAATATCAGACAACTCCAAACAATCTGACAGAACTGAAAGAGTGTACAGAGAAGGCCTGAACCAAAAAGAAGAAAAGATGGAATCTGACAATGGAACAATCCAAGAACAAAAAGAAGAATCAGCACCAAAGGAACAAGACAGAACAAGCCAGCCATTGTCGAGAAGCTGGAGCAATCTTAAAAAAGTGATCCTGCTTAGAAGATTCATCAAGTCATTGGAAAAAGTTAGGAAATTCAACCCAAGAGGGCCCAGATATCTACCTCTAGAGCCTGATTCAGAAAATGAAAAAGTTAATTTAAGGCATCAAGACATGGAAGAAAGAAAAGGCACTGAAGAATGGATGCTTGATTATGCACTTCGACAGGTTGTTTCCAAATTAACCCCGGCTAGGAAAAGAAAAGTGGAGCTGCTAGTGGAAGCTTTTGAAACAGTCATTCCAACCATTAAAAATTGAAATTGGGCAAGGCAAAGAGTGGACTACCTTTATATGCAAAACAAATTCAAGCTTGAAGGTAAAAATGATTCTCAAGTAGAATTTCCATTCTTTTTTTCCTTTTGAATTTACCCTTAAAGTGATGTGCAATTGTCAACAACAGTCAACTTTGGAAAATGTCAAGCGAAATCATATCCTATTAGAAATATCAAGCGGCCACTTCTACACACAAGTCATGTGATAGATTTTAGTTGAGACAACAGAGGACGACGAATTCTATATGCATCATTTATAAGATTCATGTTTTTTAAGCAATAATCTCAAGTTGTATTTATACTATCTTGATAATCTGATTCACTGTTTCCTGTAAATGTGCAGTGCAGGTAGACAAGGAGATATGGATGACCCTAATCCTTTGGGATGTCTGCAGTTTTTTGTTTGTGGAAACTTTGTCACAGAACTGGTATATTTCGATAGTCTCCTAGGAAAAAAGATTAGAGAGTGTAGAATTCATGATTCAGCATAAACAAACATTAAACACAGGACATATTTCCCCCCTTTTTCTTCCATTCATATTTCTCTTGGTGTTCTTAGGTGGATGTTTTGTATGAAAGACTTGCATCACAAATACCATAGACCATTTACATGTCATAATGTATATCGTTTTTGTGGAACACATCAGATACAGGAAAGAAAAGGTTGACAATCAATTCAATGTACGCAAAATATATAATGCCTGGTTTTCCTAAGAAAAATAGCGTTTTTTTTCCCCTAAAAAACGAATATTACCCATAATTTAAGCTTAAACAAAACACATACTAAAGGCATGCATTAATGCAATGAAGCTTGACCCTATTGACTCTGGCCAACATATTCACGAACAATGACAGTGATTACTAGTAGGTAAGATTTCCTTGGGGGAGAAAAATGGACAAAAGAAAATGTGCCCAGTTTCACAAGACAACTCAAAATTTGACAACCGAAACCTTGTTTGGGTGCTGGTGAAACACTGAATAATGGATGCTTCTTACAAAAAATAGCAAAAGCATGAAGTTCAAAAACGAGATAGGAAACAAACTGAGCCCAACGCCAAAACTCACTGTCTTCAGAAACACGTGTTCTCAACTTCAGTCCCGACTCTGTTAGTTAACTAGCGCCTGCAAACTTCAAATTCCTTTTTTTTTTTCACAATTTCTTTTTTCTTTCTGGTAAAATCTTGTGCACACAGCTTCTTGGCCGATACTTTCTGCACCTCCAAGTTCATCCAAAAAGATGATATTATTTTTTAGAATTTTAGAATATGTTTTTCGAAAATATTATCCATTAGTCATTTTTATAAACATTTTAAATGAGTTTTCTAGAAATATTTCAAATTGATATTTTCAAAATAATAGTTATGTTATGTAGAAAATTATTTCTGAATTTAACTTTTTAAAATCTTTTCAGATTGATTTTTTTGGAATGATAAATTTATGTTATGGATTTCATAACTCATAATTTCAAAAAATCATGTATTCCTGAAAATACCTTCATTCGAAAATTTTCTGAAATTTTTAATCTGGAACACGTCAAAATATATTCAAGATCACTATTTCTATAGAACTAATAAGGGTATTATTGTCTTTTAAAATAGATATAAGGTGTAGGAAGAAAATATGGAGGTGCAATAAGAACTCAAAACTTATGTTTGGGCTTTTCTTGTAAGATCCAACACTCACACCAACCAACTGGACCCATCACCGAGCCCTTGATATTTTAAATTTGAGGCATTTTTATTCATTAGTTTCCTGATTTGGAATTTTGGGTTTTATTTTTATGATAATAACATGTGACTAATTAAATTTTCATTTCAACCGAGTGAATCATCTCAATTAAATATATTAGTGATACATTTTAAAACAATGGTTTGTCTATTATATTTATTTTATAATAAATGATGTTTATTATATATTAATTTATTTTAATCAAACTAAGAAATAGGAAATTTCATTCCCTAGGAGGAGTTCCTATCAGCATCGATCAAAGAGCCAATACTCTATTTCTCATAGTGCAATCAAAATCAGATCCCTAGGAAACCAACTAATTCCCTGATGAATCACCAAAAAGAAATATGTATTCCCAGTGAGCCTACTGCAAAAACAATCTTCAAACTCATATCCTTGAAGAGTCGTTTGCTTATGCATAGGTAAGACCTGACAAGCAAGAACCAGCATCCCCAAAGGGAATATCAGTCTGTTCAGAGACAAAACAGTGCAACCAAAAGTCTTCACCTCCAAATGAAACATTTGCCTCCTTAGAGGCATCCTCAAAATTAACAAATCCTCAATGGAGTCACCATCTATCGCCGTCGTTCGGTTTTCGACTAAGATAACTATTGCTTTTAGGGGAGTTTTTTTATTTTTATTTTTTTTACAGAGTCGTTTTATGCGACTACTTGTGTGTGGATGTCCTAAATGCAATCTATTCTCTTATTTGATGCATCTAGAAAAGTGACTGACATTCTCCTACTGAACTTTCATGATTTGTGCTGATGATGGACTCCTCTTTTATTTATATATTTGGTTTAGCCATAACTTTTGCCTATATCGCCTTTTTGGGGTTTTCGATCTAGCGGACTGCCTTAATTTTTTGCCTAGGACATCTTAGCAGACTTTTTCGTTTTTATAAGTATCTTAACTTTTGCCTAGATCACCTTTTTTTGGGATTTTCGATATAGTAAACTGCCATAATTTTTTCTAAGAATTCTCCTAGCATACATTATTATTATTTTTCATTTTTTTTCTTTTTTAATGCTTCTCTGTTTTGGATGCATGATTTGATCTTGACAAAGAGACTTTGCGCATATTTACGATTTATCAATATAAAGAGATTTTCATAAATTTGTCAAGAGAAAAAAAATGAAAAAGAATTTTATTGATATGCATGAGCAAAATGTTTATTTTTTCTTTTTTGGTTTTACACAAGGTTTACAAAAGGATTTAGAAGAATGACTGATTAAGATTGACTACACGGTGTGAGCTTCAACAATTATGTCTCTAATATCTGTCCTTTATTCTCCTAGTTACTTCGATCGAGATACTTGAACTTGAAGTGTAGACTATGCAAGTTGTCTTCTTAAAAAAATGTTATCTTATTGATATTATTTTAATTATAAATTTTGTTAATTCACATTTATATTTTTTCTAAAGAGATAAGTTATAATAACAAAATTTTTTAGACATAACTCATTATTTTACTCTTTTTAAAAGAATAAATGAAATATAAGTTACTAAATAATTATAAGATTTATTGAGTTATCTACTTATTTTTTTCTAGAACAATTAAATTTCATATTAAAATGACACATTTTTTAAAATACACTCTAAATAAAGTCGGTGACTTACTCTCTTATTTTCTTAAAAAAAAGTCAGAAAAATCCTTAAATTATATATTTTTAACTTAATTGTTATTAATGTTCCTATTATATAATATATATCTACATAATTCCCTTGTTACATATGTGATCAAGGCAAGTTCTGCTTAAAAATTTGTTTGATTATATAGTTGAAGTTAGTTAGTTATTACAAATCTTAATTAAAACAAATTTACCAATGTGTTTCCATAACTTATGGATTGGATTAAACAATTAGAACTAATTGAACTCATTAGATTAGTTCAATTAATAATTAATTTTGCATCATGGTTTTTTTTATTACAAGGGTTTCTAACTATTTACTGGAAATCAAATATGAATCTTCCTATATACAGTTATTTATTATGAGCTACTTAATCACTTCACCAACCATATTTTTTTTTTTCAATTTATGTTTATTTTGGTCTAAAATATATAATAAGATATGGAATTGGGCTTTCATAAAGGGCATAAAACCCTTTAGTTTGGCACTCTCTAGAGAGGGTAGAAACGGATATTCCTATTCACCTTTTAGATTCCCACACACACACATGAACACTTCAGTTGCAGGGGACAGCGTTTTTTATCTTTATCCACGACCATCAGAGTCACCCACTTCAGTCTTTTTGAGTTCCTCTTCATTCGTCAAGAACTTCGAGTTCTCTCAAGGTAATCTAATCAATCACTTTCAATCTTTCGCAATTTTCATTTTTATTGTCCGGGGGTGTTATGATGTGTTCAATCTTTCTACATTTTGATGTGGGCATGGATTAAATGATGGTTAGTATTTCGAGAGGGCGTGAAAGTTGGCAAGTTGAAGTGTCCTTCGTAGTAATTTGATATTAACACCCTACTAATTTACCCTGTTTGTATTGATGCTTGTTTGTGAAATTTAGAATTTTTGTTGTTTCTCTTGTCACGTCCTTGTGATCCACAAGTTTTGAAATTGGTTTAATGACTCCATGATTCATAGTTACTTGCTTGAGGAACTATTTGCTTTACTATAAATCAAAGTGTAATGCAAATGAATGGATTTTTAATTACAGCAATCATTTTTATGGCCTTTTGCAAAAGGTAATAACAAACCAGCCTCTTGAAAGGGCTTTGGGAATATAGTATTCAATGTTTTGAGGTTATGAAATATTAGTGATTTGAGCTCTTCATTGTGATTTGATACCCTAGCCAGTTGGTATTCCTGTCTTTTTTCTTAATTAAAATGATTTAGATCTATGCTTATCGTCCATTTCTCTAAGTGGGTCTATTCCATCTGTCCTTGTGTATTGATTTTTATTTGTGATATTTATTTTGTATTTATGTATTATCATGGTATTAAAGTATTTACTCTTGGTTACTTGGCTTTGATTCACAATGTTGGAAATTATGATGAGTCCTGGAGTTATTACTTTCTTGATGAAGTAAGTTTTTTATTATTATTCAAAGTGTAATGCAAGTGACGAGGTTTTAATTATTGTCTCAGGAGTGTGCTCAAAGTAGTTATAGGATCCTCTGATTGAGATGGCTCAATTGCTATCATCCTCTTACTCCTTGGCTACCTGCCCTAGAAATAAACCTTACTTAAAACCTTTTAAGCAATGCTCAACACCATTTTCTGTTGCGGTTTCTTGCAATAGTTCCAAACCTTCATTTAGAGGGCTTTTCTTGCAAGAACAGAAGCTAAGAAAAGGTTCTCTAGTAGTACATGCTGCTGCAGTTTCAACTAGCCAGGGAACCCCAGTTCAAACTAGCACTGGTGACCCTTTTAAACCACAGCGAGTCATGGTCATTGGTGGAGATGGATACTGTGGTTGGGCAACTGCCCTCCACCTTTCTAACAAGGGTTATGAGGTTGCCATTGTTGACAGCCTTGTGCGACGACTTTTTGATCACCAGCTTGGACTGGAATCTCTAACACCAATTTCCTCCATCCAGAATCGCCTTCATTGTTGGAAATCTCTCACTGGAAAAAGTATTGAGCTCTACATTGGAGACATATGTGATTTTGGGTTCTTATCTGAAACCTTTAACTCATTTGAACCTGATGCTGTTGTCCACTTTGGGGAACAGAGGTCTGCTCCCTACTCTATGATAGATCGATCAAGAGCTGTGTATACCCAGCAAAACAATGTTATTGGGACACTGAATGTGCTCTTTGCCATAAAAGAGTTCAGAGAGCAGTGTCATCTAGTTAAGCTTGGGACCATGGGTGAATATGGGACCCCTAATATTGATATTGAAGAAGGTTATATTACCATTACTCATAATGGAAGGACAGACACTTTGCCATATCCCAAGCAAGCTAGCTCATTCTATCACCTAAGCAAGGTACATGATTCACATAACATAGCTTTCACTTGCAAAGCTTGGGGTATTCGAGCAACTGACTTGAATCAAGGAGTGGTATATGGGGTAAGGACAGATGAGACTGCAATGCATGAAGATCTGTATAACAGGTTTGATTACGATGGAATATTTGGGACTGCATTGAACCGGTTCTGTGTTCAGGCTGCCGTTGGTCATCCACTGACTGTGTATGGTAAAGGAGGCCAGGTAACATACCCCCATCCTTATGTTTATTTGTTATTGATAAGCTGAAAAGTGACTTTTGATGATTGTTATGGCAAGGACATAAATTTGGCATTATTTTAACCGGGGCATGTTTATGTTGTATGTATTGTCTATTAGACCACTGTAGAAGAATCAAAGAGCATTGACGGAGTTTCTTTGAAACGCCTGCACATATTTCTTTGAATCTTTTAAATAAGTATAGTAAACAAGCCCTGCTTTTTGGTTTTTGGTAACCTCATGTTGTCTCTATTACAACTCAATCTAAATATTTGAGACTCATTGATAATAGCTGTGGATAGTGCTGGCCAATATTATACAGAGCTTCATGTTGACTTTATCTGCTTTGTGCACCTTGTTCCTCTGAGATTCCAACAACGCTATTGTGTCTCCTAAATTAATTATATTGATTTGACCATGTTTCTATTGGAGAAGCTTCTGAATTCTCCGATGCTAATCTTGTTTGTATGCTATAATACACATATTTCAGACTAGGGGCTTCCTTGACATAAGAGATACAGTTCAATGTGTTGAGCTTGCCATCGCAAACCCTGCAAAGCCTGGGGAGTTCCGAGTCTTCAACCAATTTACTGAGCAGTTTTCAGTCAATCAGCTTGCCAACCTTGTTACCAAAGCTGGTGAGAAGCTGGGTCTTGATGTGAAAACTATCAATGTGCCAAACCCACGAGTTGAGGCAGAAGAGCATTACTACAATTGCAAGAACACTAAACTTGTTGATCTAGGACTGAGACCACACTTTCTTTCAGATTCTCTCCTTGATTCACTGCTGAACTTTGCTGTTCAGTACAAGGATCGTATTGACACAAAACAAATCATGCCTAGTGTGTCTTGGAAAAAAATTGGGGTCAAAACAAAAACTGTTACAGCTTAGGAAGACGGGGGTACCCTGCATGATGCGTTAGGTTATACATTGCCGTGAATATTTAAATTTGTGAAATATATGATTTTTATGAAACCTTCATAGTTCACACCCTCTTTATGGAGAGTACATTTTCGCGCTTCAACTGTTCCACAAGATTCATATTCGAACCAAGGTACTGTTTTTGTTGTTGTTTACAATGAATATGGCAGCTAATGATGGTAAGTTTATATACTTAGCATATTAATGGAATATGAAGGGCGTCCAAATGTTGATTGAACGACATTGTCTCACCTTCAACGTTTGTTTCTGAAAAGTAATATGAAAACATCCTGGTCTGGAAGAGAGGGACATTGGTTTCAAAACGAGGATGGTGGAAATGTATTTTTTTTTTCATGCAAACAATTACAAAGAAGGGAAACTTAATCAACGGCTTTTCGTACTGAAAGGAGGATGATGCGTATTTTCTTTTTGGGTTTTTATAGGTAATTTTATTTGAGCTATCGTCAGAAACAATTTTAAGTATAGAACAGCTAGAAAGATCATGGTATGGATTTCACCTTGAAAATTTATTACTACCTACTTTTGCAAAAATTTTACCTATCAAACCAGAATAATAAAAACTGTAGCAGAAGATTAAAATTGAAAAAAGATTTTACACTATAAAATAATGACATTATAATCTAAATTAATCAATTGATTTATTATTTTGAATAAAAACTGTAAATAAGTCTTAAATAATGACATTATAATCTAAATTAATCAATTGATTTATTATTTTGAATAAAAACTGTAAATAAGTCTTAAATAATGTGTTACATGTGTCATCAATAAGTTAATTTTATATTTGTAGCACTATTGGAAAAGTTGGAGTTAAAATATCATTTGAATTTGATAAGATTGTTATGACAAAAAATAATGTGTTTATAGAGAAGAGTGTGATCAAGGTTTTTTTTTTTTTTTACATTTAACATCTATGAAGTTGTTAAAGAATAAAATTTGTTTGTTTATATTGTTGATTCATATGATATGGGACATGCTACACTAGGAAATGTTAATTCCTCTTATGTTATGAAATTCCAACAATTAGGATTAATTAATATGCATGATAAACAAAATAAGAAATGCAATATATGAGTAGAATCTAAAATAACTAAGAAAAGTTCATTTGTAGAATATTAAATTGAACTTTTAGGACTGCTTCATATTGATCTAGTTAAACCAAAATTAACCATGTTTAGAGATGGTAAAAATTATTTTGTAACATTTATAGATGACTACTCTAGATACACTAAAGTATACTTAATCAAATATAAGGATGAAGTGTTTGACATGTTCTTAACCTATAAAGCGAAAGTAGAAAATGAATTAAATATAAAAATTAAGAAGATTAAATTAAATAGAGGTTGTGAATATGTATTATTTAATGATTACTGTATTAAAGAAGGTATTGTTTATGAAGTAACTACATTATATTCACCTGATAATGGAGTAATTGAGAGAAAAAAATAGAACTCTTAAAGAAATTATGAATATCATGCTTATTAGTTCTATTGCATCTGATAACCTTTGGAAAGAAAACCTACTTACAATATTTTTTTTTTTACAAAATAGGATACCAAATAAGAAACCTAGTAAAACTCCCTATAAGTCATAGAGAGGTTATCAACCTATTCTTAAATACCTAAGAGTGTGAGGTGTCTAACTAAGGTAATGTTATCTGATCCTAAGAAAAGAAAAATAAGGTCTAAAACTTTTGTATGTTTTTAGGCTATATTGAATATAATGCTACTTATAGGTTTCTTGTCCTTAAAAGTGATGTAATGTAATTGAATATAATATTATAGTGGAGACAAAAAATGTTGAGTTCATTGAACATATTTTTCCTTTAAAAATTAGTAAGATACCTGAATAACCTATAAATATTAAAAGTGATAGCATGAATGAGGAATTGAGAAGAAGTAAGAGACGTAGAAAGGAAACCTCCTTTTAAGATGATTATTACACTTATCTAATTGAAAATGATACAATAAGTTTTTTAGAGACTACTAATGCTTCTGATGCAATACATTGGGATAAGGCCATTTGGATTGAAATTGACTCAATTAAGAAAAATAATACTTAGATTTTAGTAGATTTTCCTAAAAGAACAAAATTCATTGGTTGTAAGTGAATCTTTAAGAAAAAGTATCATCCCGATGGATTCATAGATAAATATAAGATAAGATTAGTAGCAAAGGGTTTCACTCAAAAACTAAATATTGATTATTTTGATACCTTTATCCTTGTGACTAGGATTTCCTCTATTCTCGTTTGGTTAACTCTAGGAGCTATCCATAAGCTAATTATGCACCAAATAGATATTAAGACAACCTTTTTTAATGATAAGTTAGAGGAGGAGATTTATATGTCTCAACCTGAATGGTGTGTTATTCCTAATCAAGAGAACAAAGTATGTAAACTTTTAAAATATTTGTATGGATTAAAACAGATACCAAAACAGTGGCATGAAAAATTTGATAGTGTTCTACATTGTGATGACTTTTCAACTAATGATGTTGGTAAATGTGCGTACTCTAAATTTGAAAGTGATGAATGTATCATTATATGCTTATATGTAGATGACATGCTAATATTTGGTACATGTATTGACATAATCTCTAAAACTAAATTATTTATAAGATATAAATTTGAAATGAAAGACATGGATGAAGTCAATGTAATTTTGGGAGTTAGAATCATAAGGAAGAGTGACAATATTTTACTATCTCAAGAATAATATATTAAGCAACCTTTTAGGAAGTTTGGATATTATAACTTCAAACCAATGAGTATCCCTTATGATGTTAACTCTAAATTAAAGAAAAATAGAGGAGACTATATTTCTCAACCTTAGTATGCCTAGATAATTGGAAGCTTACTGCATTTAATGAATTTTTCTATACCTGACATTGCTTATAAAATAAGTATACTGAATAGGTACACTCAATGTCCTCATCAGGAATATTGGGATGCACTTACAAGACTTATGAGATACTTAAGCTGTTCAATGAATTATGTTATTAAATATAGTAGATTTCCCGCTGTACTAGAAGGGTATATTGATGTTAATTGGATATCCGATTCAGATGAGACAAAATCCACCAATGGTTATGTATTTACACTTAAGGGTGGTGTGATTACATAAGGATCAATCAGATCAACGATTATCACAAGATCAACAATGAAATCAAAGTTTGTTACTCTTGAAATGACTGATAATGAAGCTGAATGGTTGAAAAACTTCTTAGCAAATATTCCATTAGGATTGAAACCAACTTCGTCTGTGTTAATACATTGTGATTGCCAACAACAATAGTTATAGCTAAAAACAAGAATTATAGTGGAAAAAAATAAACATATACAATTGAGACACAATTTGGTAAAACAGTTGCTAAAGAGTGGAACAATTTCAATTGATTATGTGAAGTAATAACAGAATCTAGCAAATGAAACCCCTAGGGAGAAATATGATTTTAGAAATATCGAGGGGAATGAGACTTAAGTCACTTGCAAACAAACAAGTGATGATAACCCAATATTTGTGATTGAAGATCCATAAATAAGGTTCATATGGGTAAAAATAAATCACTTGTTAGTTCCGTTAGCACTAAAATTGATTAAAACCAATTATGTTCATTCCTATTGTTATGAAAGTGGTAGATACTACATCATTGAGATGTTAAATTTTGTAATTAAAATTCTATGTGATGTACGAATTTAATATAAACAAAGTTTTTAATAATTTGCATACCTATTATAGGTGGTGTATGAATTGCATTATAAGCTTGATGAAATCATTTATACGAATGTCAAGTGAGACTGCTTGTATATTTTGGTTCATATAACTTGTTATACCAATTACACTATTTGTTAAGCTTTCAGTTTATGACTAGTTCATATAGTTTGTCTGCCAACGAGAGTTGTGTGAATCATCTTACGAAAGTGTTAGCCCCAACTGCTGCAGATCTGGAACCTCGCATAGCCATTATCCCTTAATTCATGAAAACTACCCTGTCTCTTCTCCCTCATATCTTGACACTTCCACAAGTGTTGGTGGAGATGTGTGGAAGATTGAGTTTTTTTTTTTTTTTTCTAAGCTCATACTACACCTATAAATAGACCACTCCATACTCTTTTAAAACACAAACTTTACTCATCTTCTCTTTTTTTTTCCTTTTTCATTCTATTTTTATCTTGTGTTTATATACTCTTTTAAGAGTTACTTGTTAGATTCTGAGTTTCTCAAAAAATTCAAAAAGTTTTTATTATATCATAGAGGACTTACGCAATACACTACGAATAAGTCTTAAATATAATAATCATATATGTCTCAAAAATATTTATAACAATAATATTATTTCCTTTTCAATAATATTATACTAAAAGAAATCATTAATTCATACATGATACATGTGTCATCTATTAAAGGATAACAGTATTCCCGAATAAAAAAAATAATATTCATTTTAAGATCTTAACTTTTCCTATCTGTTTTTCTTATAATCATTGGTATTTAAGAGTTAAGAAGATAATATTATTTATATTTTATGCAAATTTCTTGCCAATTTTTAAATGAAATGTGTTTGTTGTATATACATGTAATTTTTCAAAATAATATAAAATACATGAAACAATTATCTATTTGACTTATTAGATACGGGAAACTAATCTATGATTATTATCAATCAATAGATATATTTTGTTTCATTCTGAAATTTATATACCAATTTGTTTCATTTTCAGGTCCCAATATCAGGTGATTATACACTTGGTCCCCACTTCTTCAATTTACATCAAATATCATTTTCAAGAAAAACAAAAACCCCTCGTCTTTTTGTTTGTTTGTTTCAGCGTTATATAGTACAACCTTGCCAAGGATATTCCCATCCTAATAAAAATGCTTCAACTGCATACGCAATAACACATATTATAAGTTGGAGCATGTTAACAAAATTAACGTGTAAAGATACATACGAAAAAGATTACGGAAGAGTAATTAATTTATAATGAAATGATGAAAAAGTATGCATGGTAGTTACACACTTCATGATGATATATAATAAGAAAGTGAGTGAACTTCATATAAACTCAATTTACCCTAAAGTCACACTTTTTAGGCATTTTTATACACTATAATAATATTATTTAACCTATTTATTGTTTTTTTAAAGAAAAAAATTAATTAATTAAAATATGACTGTTGTAAATTAATTAGAATAAAAAAAGGTGACCTTCGTTGCCTTACGTTGAAAATTAGTTTAAATTTATTTAATCTACATTTTTTGGTAAAGTAAACTAAACATAAGAGAAAGTGTTGAACAACTTCTTCGTTGCCTAAAAATATTAGATACGAGGAAAGCTATGATATTGAATACCCAAGGGGTAAATAGTACGAGTTTTAATTTTTACTTGTCTATTTTTTTTATTTGTAATTTATTTAATATTGATTTTTGAGTCATAGCGTTGTTGAAGTTAAAATATCAACAAACGTTAAATTAAAATTAATTGTAGTTTAATATTATATAAAATTTTTAAAATTTTTAAATTATTTATATATTTAATTTTAACATGAAACAAATATATGAGTTTAAATATGTTTCAGTTTTAATTATATTAAATGATATTTCACATTATAAAAATCATTAATTATCAAATATTATAATAGTAAAGAAAAAATAATAAAAGATTATTTTTTTTAATTTTATTCTTCTCTTCAAAAAAATATTATAAAATATTTTCAATATTTTTCTACTTCGATTTTTAGTTTCTAATTCGTGATGTTTTTATAATGAATAAAAAATAAAAAATTAAAGAGAAAAATTACAATTTTTATATTATAAAAGTAAAATTATAAGAAAAAAATATAAAAAACTTACCATTTTTATATTGTAAAAGAAAATCGTGGAGAAAAATATTAAAGTAAAAATACAGAAAAAAATATAAAAAATAGTAATATTTATTACAACTATTATTATTTTCAAAATATAATAATTAGTTTTTAATATTTAAAAATAATTTTATTTCATTTTTTAAATTATAATAATTATGTATATTAAATAAAATTTTGAGGGCGGTGACCACTCACATGCCCCTAATTTCGCCTCTGATTAAGTGGTTTTTAATTTAATTAAATTTTTGAAGTTTAAGTCATATGTAAACGTGATATATATGGTCATGAATTTTCTATAATTATATGTTATTTTATTTTTTAATATAATTAATAAATTAATTAAAAAAATATTTTTATTTTTATTTTTATTTTCATTCCAAATATTTCAATTACATATAATTTTTTTAAAATATTATTAATTACTCGTTTTTTTAACTTTTATCTTAAATATATCCTCTAAAATTATAAATAAAAATGTGGTAATAACGTGTTTCCGCTAATCTGAACAATAATTTTATATACAGATGAGATGAAGACACACTGGTATATAAAGATTGAAAGAACAATAAACACGAATTATTGAGAATTCATGTACGTAATCTACCTACTGCATTCTGGTTTAGTTTATTTATTTCTTTTGTTGATTTAAAAAAAAAACACAATAACATGATTGGTCCAAGATAAACAATACATTATTGACAAGTCTAAGTTAGACTGTTTATTAGAGATTAACAATTTAATTTAAAAAAATCTTAATTATTTAATAAAAATAACAACTAAAATACTTCGAATAAAATTTAATTTATTATCAAATATAATAACTTTATTTCAATATCAATTTTATTTAAATTAAATCAATATAAATTTAATTTAAATGAAAAAAAGATAAAAAATCAATTTAATTTAGGTAAAACGATCTCGATTATAAATTCAATTTATTTTGTTGAATTTGAATTGGATACGGATTCAACCACCCCACTGATTATGAATGTTTGATGAGCAAGACTTCCAAATAAATCGATGGTGAGAGATCAATGATCAATTGACGATGGTGGTTCTCCAATAAGATTAATATTATGCTAAAAATGGATTTCATATTTTTAAGTGTCACCCTAACACTCAAATTTGAGGGGTTTCTATTTGAACGATGATATATGCATCTAGTAGTTACATATTTGTCATATTTAAGATGAACTAAATTTTCGGACATTAATTCAAGAAATTCCATGAACAATAACATTAAAAGTCAATGCAGCCATGAGATAGTTTTGTTTGGGACTGAAGTGTGATTTAGTGTTTATAAATATATATTAATTTTCGTGTATTAGACCTCAATCAATTCTAGCAACTTGAGTTAATTTGTGTTTATAATTATATTTTGAATTGAATACATTACATGCATGGCAAAGCAAACCTTGTAATATTATTCATCAAACAAGAAGATGAAGAGATTAATGCATCATTTACAATAGTGCTTCACAAATTATTAACAATGCGTACAATTAAGAAAAACACACAAACAAGGCAGCAATCTATGCATACAGTCCAACTTATTCATACACAAAAGCAATTCATCACGCGAACATTTCCTTCTTCGATCATATTAGTATAGGGCTGAGATTCCACAGTACGCTTTGATTCGAGAATAGGGCTCTTTGATTTTCTCTTTGTCATAGAAACGAAGGTAGTCATAATGGTCGAAAATCGGTTTATAAAGCAAGGGATGTTGCTCATTAACTAGCTCATCCGGAATCTGCATATTCTTATCACCACTAAAAGAAAATAGTCCCATAGAGTATCTGGTTTTCTTTGCATTCATGGTAACTCTGTGCTCACATGGTCGTATCCTGCCATTACTCCATACCTAGCACATCGAAATATAATGTGCCAAAGTTCATTAAACCTAACCAAATATATTACTACATGGATTAAATAAACATAAAAGTTCATATCAGTTTAAAATTTAAAACTGACAGATAAACAAACTTTGACAGCAAAAGGTTAATGAGTAAGTATACTTACATTGAGTGCGTCACCTGCCATAACAACAAAGAGGGAGGAAGAGGCATCAACCCCAATCCATTCTTCATCCTTCAGCTTGATTTCCAAGCCATTCAGATGATTCAGCTGATGAACTATGGATACGATGGTCAAGTCCGTGTGAGAATCTAATCCAGTATCCTTTTCATCCATCTCAGGTGTCCTATATTTTATGCATCGTAGCAGATAATCGCTTGATTTTATCATGCGCTCGCATCCTTTTATGTCCACACCATAGCTCTCAAACACCATTCTCTTTGCCATATGGTCTAATTCTGCCAACAACTTAGCATACTCATTGATGCTTTCACTGTATATTTGGACAAATGAAATACCTTGAGCACTTGTATACAATAATCATATCATAAACAAAATTATAGAACAATAAGTAATATTCTCCTTCCTATTTCTCTTTTATTAAGAGGCAAGCACAAAAACAAAGAACAGTATTTTTAGCATGAAAAAGTGTTGAAGTAGAAGCATCTATGTTACAGTTTTGAATTAAATATATGATCTCAAGTTCACAGTTTTGGTTCATTATTTTTGGCTTCAAATTCTAAAAGTTTGCAAATGATGTTACCCTTTTGATCAAGTATCACTTTTTAATAGGAAAAACACATCATGAAGCAAACAAAGAGAGTGATCTGGATCCTTCATTTTACATGAAATATGCTGGAAAGGAAAAAGGGTACCTACCAGAAACGATGATTCCCCTGCGGCCACATTATGTGGGTGAATTTTTGGCACCCTTGTAAGGTCAAAGGATCATCAATGCCCAAAGACTCAAACAAGGGAATCCACGAGACTTGTCCTAAGTAGCCATGGAAAGGTTTGTCGCAGGTTTTTTGTCTTTTTGTTTCCAGTGGGAGACTAAACAACTGTTCTATTGCAGATACAACAGAGTCACAAAGGTCTTTGCCAATTGAATCATAGCGTGCCACGAAACAACCATTGTCTTCAAGCGCAGACCTAACAAGAGTGCAGGCTGAGAGCCATGCGTCGGTGCCAGGTTTCATGGTTGCGTCAGTGAAGTCCACCACATGAAGTTGAGACTGTGTTTGGGATCCCATCATGCTGTGCTCTCTCCACAACAATGTCACAGCTCTTGCTCAAAACAATTTGTGCTTTGATATGGTCATGGTTTTTTTCCAATTTTCTTTGATTTTATAATGTAATAATGTTATCTTCTCTATGTCCTTAGTCATGATTAATTCTTTTTTAATGAACGTCATTGAGTTTAGAATGAATTAGGAAAAAAAAATAAAGAAGAGAAATTGGTGAATTATGGTTAGGTGAATCAAACATTTTTTTTTTAATGAACGTAATTAGTTATTAAAGTTGAATATTTTGAAAAAAATTGTAATATTTTATAATGTTGGTTGGGTGAATCAAACTATTTTTAAATTCGTATTTTTATAAAATGATTTGGTTTACTAAACGATTTTTATACAAGTAAAACACGTTTTAGAAAAAAGAAAACTGTAATTTATAAAAATAGTTTCAGTAACCATTTTTATGAACTGCTTGGATTCAATTTTTAAAATTCTTAAATCTTTTAATAATACATTATTTTCATATTTTTTTATCAGACATAGACTAGATATATAACTGGTGTGGTAGTCAACTTTTTCATAAATTGATAATTGACGTAGAATGTCTCCCACTTTTTACATTTGATATATGTACATTAATTTTTTAATAAGTTAAAAATATTTAAAATAATTGATGTGAAAAAAATATCTTTTTATTATTTTTTTAATCATATTTTCTAAATTATTTTTTTTATTTTACAATTTAATCATTTAAGTGTTTTTTCGCTCATATTTTATCATTATACTTTTGAATTTTTTTATATTTTATGGATATGGCAAATGTATAATAAAAGGTTGTTTATATGATATATGTGGCAAAAAAAATGGTTGATAATCAAGGTAAAAACTGTAAATTTAATGATAAATTATGCGAAAAAATGTTTAAATACTAAATTTCTTAAAATAATTGTAATTAAAGATAAATCTATCATATATATATATATATATATATATATATATATATATATATATATATATATATAAATTATATACTAGAGGACCACCATATAATTTACTCCTTATGATCTCAGCAAATCCATTCAATCTTTGGCAATGGCTTTAATCCACAATATAACTTATCACTAAAAAAACGTATTAAAATCTTCCGTAAACGTCATGGTTATTCTATCAAGATAAAAAAATGTTTGATGTTTTACAAGAGAATTTTGACTTTTTATAAGTTCTTGATAATATTGAAATTAAAATAAAACTAAATAATGCATTTAAACATGTTAAATATAATTAATTTCAACTTAAATATCTAAGTGGAATTTATTATCCGAAGCACCAACACGTCAATTTGTCATGCAAGACGATTTCTTATGACATTGCAAATCATAATATTATTCCTTAACCACACTATTATTAGATATTATGATAACATTGGGTCATTTTCATTCATATATTTTGCAATTATGTGACTTTTTTAATGTCATCATAGCACGAAATTGCAATGATGCATGAATTATTGAAACTAACATACGAAGCTTCAAACTATTTAGTTCAAGTATCTCTATCCAAATTAAATTGTTCTTATTATAAATTCTAACCTTTTTTTTTAAGTCAACGAATGACTGAGAAAATAGCTAGTAAAAAATAAATATTAGTATTGAAAGTAAAAAAAAAAATCTATTTGTTGTGTTTATATGATATTTTTCATTTTTTAGTTTACAGTATATATCTTGTTGCAATAGAACTATACTAAATAAGTAAGACGTGTATTTAGATTATGCTTTAGACTTTATTTCGTGTAACAAAATAATAAATTATTTAGTATAAGATAATAACATAAGAGTGTGAAAGGTGTAGGAGTAGAGAAAATTGTATTAGAAATTTGTAAAAGACACACTAAAAGAAAAAAATTGTATCAATGATTCATCCACGAGAGTGTGGTTGCCTCTATGGGGTTCTGGTACAATTTAGTTTAGTCTTTAATTAAAAATACATCTTACAAAATATAAAATTATGTGTTATTTAGTTTGTACTTAACCTAAACTCTAGATTATTATTAATATTATTATTTTTACAATTTAGATTGAATCATTTTTGTGGTTTTTAATTTATTGTTCTAATTTTTTATATTATTTAAGATTGACTTCTTCTTTTTATATTTTAAATTAAAATATAATAATAAAAAATTTGCTACTTAAAAGCTAAAAAATATATTTAAATAAAAATTAATGAAACATAACACAATATATTTAAAACCATTAAAAGTTACTAATATTTTTTTCTCCAACTTCTTCCTAATAGAGATCAACTTCATTTTGTCCAAGTTCTTATTTAAATTCCATAACCAATGTCAATTCAAGTGATTGGGGATTTTTTTTTTTTTTCATTTAACAAGGTTGTGAACAAATTTCAACCTGATATATCCAACAAGATCTAAGTCTACGAGTCTTTTGCTCTGTAAGATCAAATTTACGAATGTATAAATGTTGGTATAAAAGATAATGAAAAGAATTTGCGAATATAATAAATATCAATAATAAATAAAATATTTATAATTTTTATAATTTGCATATTTAATTATTTAAGTTTTAGCTAATTTAACTTTTCAAATAATATGAAAGATATCACTTTATTAAAAAAATAAGAGAGATTAATGTAGATTATTAAAAATATAAAAAATTAAGTATTCATTTAAAATTTAGAGAAAATGTGACTGATATTTTATTAAAATATAAAATAAAAACAATAATCAAGACAAGATAAAGGCTAGACAGAAACAATAATCAATCTTAGGCCTCAATGGCTTTCTTGTCTTTAATTACCTCTTTATGACAAACTCTCACATATATTTTTTATATGTAATTTTGTCTTTTTGTATTAATTAAATTCATAATTTTATCATTTAGTTTTTTTTTTAATTAAACCAACCTCTCCCCCCCCCTCTCTCTCTCTCTCTCTCTATCTATCTATATATATATATATATATATATATATATATATATATATATTAACTGGATAAGACTGAAAAGTTCAATTGGTTCAGCCTTTCCTTATTATTTTTAAATAATCGAATTTTAATTAAATTAATATAAAATAAAAAAATCTACACAAAATTAATAAAATCGAAAAAGCTGGATAAATTTTTATTGATCTGATTTTGATAAAATAAAAATAAAGATAAATTTTTTTAATTATTTTTAAATGCACTTTTTTTATTAAATAAATAATATTTTTAATTTTTTTATTTATTTTATATTAATTATGTCAATTTTAAATAATAATTATTTTATTATATTTTTAACTTATTTTAATTTTATTTTCTTTATTTATAATTTCAAATTATTTTAATAATTATTTTATTTTATTTAAATTATTATTATTATTAATGAACTTATTATATTATAAAAATATTATTTTATTAAATCTAATTATACTTCAATTAAATTTTTATTAAACTTTTAAATCTTAAATCCATGTTTTAACCAATTTAATATCCCATTTTAAAAACATTCATTCAAACTTTAAAGTTGATTAATTAACTAAGAAGGAGATGAACACGTTGATATTAGATTAATCGATTTAGAAAACTAGAGAGAAATATACCATTTCCATGGGTAATATTTTATTCATCAAGTAATTTCACATCACATTATTTATCTTTGTGATATATTCATATCATAGGACTTCACATTATACATATTTTGTGCATCTCAAATGCCACAATATGCCTTGATCCTAGAAGCAGCTTTAACAGCTTCTTCTGTGAGGAAGAAACGAAGATATCCATAATGGTCAAATGGTTTATAACGAAGAGGGTGTTCCTCATCCACTAATTTTTCCTCTGCTTCCATCACCTTTCCAGCATATGAAAGCAGCCCCAAACTGTATCTCTCTACCTTTGAATTCATCAATACTCTGTGTACACAACTGCGAATCCTGTCATTACTCCATACCTGCAAATTTTTATTTTTTTAATGCAAGAAAAATCATTCAATCATATTCATAGTATAACCACTACATGAATCACACCATGTTATTATATTTAGTTAAAAACTAAAGATTCTGAAATACTATTTGTTTTAACCCATAATGATTTTTATAGTAGATCTCGTATTCAAATAAGAATGAGGGTTATGCTAATTAGGCCTTCCACAATCAATTACTAATTCACAAGTCAATAGTTGCAGTGTTGTTAATGTAATTTTAATATTATTAATCAATAATATGTTATCTTTGTAACGACTTTAAATACATACTTATTATAAAAAACATCATGTTTTATGATTATATGATATTATTAAAAAAAATATCATAGTCATCATGTTATACTAAATATATTATTTATTAGTATTAATAAAAAATGTTCATGCATCCTGACAGGTAGTATACAAACAAAAGAGTAGTTTTCTATCTTCATTTTTCATTTCATAATTACAAGTTGTGTCATTGGCAGACTTTATTTTAACAACTATTACGTATAACAGACCTGTTATAGAGGCATATATAATTTAGTGGGGTCACTTATATGGCTACAAGAATATTACATTAACTTATATGCTTGGACAAGATTCTTATAAGGATTTCTCCAACAAAAAACAAATAATACTAGAATTAAGGTATACAGAAGTTGAACATGAAGAAACTGATATGACAATTTTATTAGGATTTTATTATTATTATTTTAAGGTATTATTAATTTTAAAATTTTAATGTATAATTTTATTTTTTAAAAATATTTTAATAAATTAATAAAAAGAACTTATATAAATTATCTTAATTTTGATTTTTAAGTAATTTGAGATTCATAATCCTAACCCATAGAATAAAGAAAGACTTTATCTGTTTTAAAATCAATGTTTTGTCTAGAAATAAACTCGTACCATAATAAATTTAGTGACAAGGTGAAAAACATAATACCATAAATGCATCACCGGCCAATACTGCAAACATGGAGGGTGAGGCATCAACCTGGATCCACTCTCCATTCTCCAACTGAATCTCTAAGCCAGTTAACCTCTGATTCAATATAGTAAGGAACCCTGAATCTGTATGAGGACGCACTCCTAAGTTGGTTTCACCAACCTTCGGTGTTCTATATTTGTAGCATCTCAGAATATAATCAGTTGATTCAATCAGAGACTCACATTTCTGATTCTCCAATCCATAGCTCCCAAACACCATTCTCTTAACCATATAATCCAGTTCTGCCACTTTCTTTGCATAGGAATTCACACTTTCACTAAAAAGAAAACAAAAAGAAAATGTTTATAAAAGTCTCATCCAATTGTAAACCATCATGTGTGAGAAGATAACTTCATTTTTTAACTGACATAAAAATCATACCAACTTCAAACTACTTTATATTATCAGTTCATAACTACTAAACTCTTTTTAATAACTTGAAGGTTTGTTCAATAGTTCATGGAAAAAGGGTTACCTGAATTGGTCATTCCCTTGTGGCCACATGGTGGTTGTGTACTTGTGACAGTCTTTAGCATTTAATGGGTTATCGATGGCCATGGATTCATACAAAGGAATATCAGGGCGTTGTCCTGCATAGCTGTAGATAGGTTTATCAGTGGTGTGTTGCATTTTTGTTTCTAATGGAAGGGCCAAGAGTTGTTCCATTGCAGAGAAGATAGAGTCATGGAGCAGTGGATCAATATTGTAGTGTGCCAGGAATCCACCGTGATGCTCTAAGGCACCCCTCACAACATCACAAGTGGAAACCCATGTTTGAGTTCCAGGTTTCAGGTCTTCATTACTGAAATCAATAACAGGTAGAGAAATCTCACACTCTCTCTCTGACCCCATCATCACCCTTCCCAACCTTCTCTCCCAAAGCGATTACCAAATTATGTTTCGATTCTCGAGTATTTATACTTGGTTTTGTTGGGTATTTTCTCATGTGATTTCATGGATGAGAGATGAGTCCCTCACACTAAAAAAAATCAATACCACTTTAAACCTAAAAGTATTAAAATTATAAATTTTTATAGATTTTTTTTTATTTACACGTCAACTTTTCACTTTTTGATCAAAATTTGTACTCGCATTTAAACTTAAATGTATTTGAATTATGTTAAAGATAATTTTAGGAAGAGGATAACTAATAATACATCCTTTTAAATGATTTATTTTAATAACTGAATATTAACAATCTAAATCTAGTTGATAGAGTGAACACTTTTAAGAAAATCAAACGAAAATAAAAATAAAATAATCTTTTATGAAATTTATTATATGATTAGGAAGAGAAATTTAATTCAAAACCTCAATTAATTTTTTTGTTGATTGGTTTTCAGAAAATATGAAGAATTTATTTTATATGATTAACTCAATTTAATTTTTGTAAGATGAGATTTATTTTGCCGAACTTTTAGTTAATGAAATCTTTCTAGATTATATTTATTTATATTATATAATTTAATTGTATATTTATTTGATATGAGATTTTATTGAACGTATTTAAGTCATAGAATGGATTTAAAAATAAAAAAAGTGGTGAAAGAAGAGTTAATGGATAATAAGGAAAACTTTGAACCAAATTTAGTTATAAAATAGAATAATTGGAAAAAAAGTGTGATGTTTCACTACTAAAAATTCTCATTTTTCATGGGAATATTTTTGCAAAATTTTGATAAAAATTGTAAGAAATAAATTTTCTATAAATTTAAACAATTTTTTACAAGAAAATTGGCAGAAAAAAACTAGTTTTCTAGTAGTGTTTTATAATAATGGAAGGATGAATCAAACTATATGTATAAATTGTTAATAAGTATTAAAAAGATAATCCAATTGAACACGTTTAAAAAAAAAACAAAAACGAATCAATTTATAAAAAGAGTTTCAGTCACAAACCCATTTTTATGAAGTGTTTGATTCATTTATAACATGGAATATGCGAGTGGGGAAATTTTGTTACATCATGTAAATAAGAAACTCATAAATATACATCCCTTAACATTTTATAACCCAAGAGTACAGAGAGTTTAACTTTTAAAATTTTTCTCCCTTATTCCTTGATTTTCAATTTTTTTCTCACATAAAGTATAGTTAAATGGTTTTCTTATAGTTAATAAAACCAAATTATTTAGTAAATAGAACTCATTTTTAATATATATTTTTTAGATTTTAAACACGAATAACCATTAGAGTGACCATTTATATTAAATCATCATCAAACCAACGACTCTCTTCTCCAAACTCATTATTGATAAACAAATAAATCAAGCAAAGTTTTCAAATTTAACAAATTAAAAATAAAAAATTAATTTTAAATAATAATAATAATAATAATAATAATAATAATAATAATAATAATAATAATAATTTCGCAATCCAATCACTCATCATCCAACATATGTATTACTTGATGGTTGCATTTCTATTAAAAACTTATATATCGTACCACACAACGGGACCATTTCTATGAATAAAATCAAAATTTAATTTAACTAAAGAATAGCTTAACAAACTAAAAGTACATGGTTTTGTTACAAACATTATGATATGTAAAAAAATAAAATTGAAAAACATAATGATATGATGTCGGGAAAAACTTTAGTGATAAAATATATGAAAATTATAAACTTAATAATAAAATGTGAAAGAAAAAAACCCTAAAAATCGTAAACTAATTATAATTGAATGATAAATGTGTATTTATTTATAATATTTTTCTTCATGGGTATATTGTTCTCAAGTATATATACTACGGGACCACGTATAATTTCACTATCCATATGATCTCACCAAATCGATCCAATACTTTAGGACAATGGCTTAATCCACAATAATCACTAAAAAAAAAAACAAATCTTCTATAAATATTCCGTTCAAACTTCGTGATTTATTCTATTAATATATATATATATATAAAAACTTTTCATGTTTTTAAAAAATTAATTTTTTAATGTAAGTGTGAATTGAAAATATATTAAATAAAAATGAGAAAGATGAATAATATATATTAAAAAAATAACACATTGAGTCAAAATGACGTAATTTTATTTATGAGAAGCATTTGGTGTTAACTTAATATTTAATATTTTTGTTGATTTTTTATAAAATTAAAATTAAAGAAAGCAACTAATTTCAAGTTAAAAATCTGGAATTATCTTATGCAAAGCACCATCATGTCAACTTGCTATCCATGACACTTTCTTATGCCATAGCAAATGATAATATTTTCCCAATTAGATATTATAACGTTGTGTCATTTTCATGCATATATTACAAGTATTTTAATTTTTTAATGTCACACCATAGTAGGAAGATTGGATTGGTGAATGAATTATTCAAATTACATACGAAGCTTCAAACTATAAAGTTCATGCCAAGAATCTTCTTCCAAATCAATTAACACAGCAAATTCAGGTGAAAAAAATGGGATCAGAAACCGAAGTGAAGCTTCCAATCATTGACTTCTCCAAATTGGACTTGGAATCCAATGTTGCAGAGTGGGAATCAGTGAAATCCCAAGTTCACAAAGCACTTGCAGAGTATGGTTCCTTTGAGGCTGTGTTTGATAAAGTCCCTTCGGATTTTCGAAAAGCCATATTTCTTGAAGTGGAAGAGCTATTCGATCTCCCTTTAGAAACCAAGCAACGCGTTGCGTCTAGTAGGCCATACCGTGGTTATGTTCAGCCTGTTGAAATCTATGAGAGCATGGGAATTGAGGATGCTAATGTTCATGAGAAAGTGGAAAATTTGATCAAGATCTTATGGCCACAAGGAAAACCAAGTTTTAGGTATGCATTATAAATTGGTCTTTATTTAACAAACCACATCTCACACTTGTGATTTACCATTTATGTTTGAGCATAAGAGAACTTATCCACCACATCAATCAGTTGCCAGTGAAACAGCACAGTTTTAACATCATAATAAAATAGAATTCCCTTTTGATCCTCTTTTGTTGTTCATCATATGGCAGCAAAAATCTGCTATTCTTCACTGAGCAAGTGTCAAGGTTGGATCAGATGATTAGGAAGATGATTTTGGAGAGTTTAGGTGTTGAAAAGTATTTGGATGAGCACATGAACTCTACAAATTACCTTGCACGGCTTATCAAGTACGAAGGCCCTCAAACTAATGAACCAAAAGTTGGGATAACAGATCACACAGATAAGAACTTATTGACCATCTTATGTCAAAATCAAATTGATGGTTTAGAGATACAGACCAAAAGTGGAGACTGGATCAAATACAAGCCCTCAACATCAACCAGTTTTGTTGTTGTCACCGGAGACACACTTTATGTAACTTCTATATACACTCCCACTTTCTGCACAGAAACTAGAAAATGATGCTATAAAAAAATGTGGCTAAAAAATTTGATATATGTTGCAGGCATGGACTAATGGAAGGGTGCACACACCGTTTCACCGAGTGATGATGACTGGAAATGAGACAAGGTTCACTATTGGACTGTTCACAGTTCCAAAGTCAGGGTTCGTAATAAAGGCCCCAGATGAGCTTGTGACTGAGGAGCACCCTTTGCTTTTCAAGCCCTTTGTCCAGAGTGAGTTCATGAAGTTTGTTTACTCTTCTGAGAAAACAAAAAATGCTCTGAAGGTTTATTGTGGTGTTTGAGATTTGATTCATGGTTACAGTAGTGCTCCCTCTACACAATCCCTTTTGGATTTTCTGATAAGGAGTCTGTAATATTTGCATAAAGTTTGCAATTTGGTATGTGAATGTATGAACCTCTCTTCTCCAAGATGGAGGGTGTAATTTTAAGTAAATGAAGGAATAAAATAAACCTTTTAAAAGATAAATAGGTTTTAAAAATAAGGCCAAAGGGATATTTTATTTAAATAAAAATAAAATCAAATATATTTTATGTTGATTTAAGTAAAACTAGAAACAATTCAGTCATTGATGGAGTTTGATCAAATTAGCATGTAAAAATCTCTTACTTGAAAATATATTCATCAATTACTATAGATTTTTTTTTCAAAGACAATAACCAAAATATATTTATGAATGAAACAAATCAATTTAATAAAGGTTATAACTCTCATGTTGAAAATGAAATAAACAATATTGAAAAAAAATTAAAAGATAAAAAAAAACATTTTATCAAATCTCCTTTCATCTAAAATACACACATGTTTAGTTGCGGATCTTATTGAGAATTGAGGAGGACAGTGACCTCCCAAATTTTCTAACTCTCATACAATTTATGATTTTAACCCTCCTAAACTTTAATATATTTACTTATATATTTATAATTTTATCCTCTCAACGTCTTTTCAATTTTATAATTCTCATATAATTTATGATTTTGTCCCCTAAATTTAATGATCATTTTATATATTTACAATTATATCCCCTCACCCTTTCATCTTCTTTTACCCTTTTATATTTATTTATTATTTTTTAATAATATATTATTTGATTCTCTCATAATTAATGATCAAGATCCTTCATGTAATTTTTTTCAAAAAATTAACAATCATAATTTTTTTAAATCTTGTTGAATTGCATACACATTTAAGTAGTTTTTAATGGAGTTTGATGAGTAAAAGAAGTTATTGAACTTGTATACTAGAAAAGTAACAATTTTCTTAGATAGAATAAACACTTTTAAAATAAAATAAAATAATATTTTATAAAATTAAAAATATGATTGAGAATAAAAAAAACGTCAGTCAAGTATTCTTCATCGGTAAATTAATTAAATATTTTATATCAATAAAATGATTACAAAAAGAAAACTGTCTATTTAATGAGAAGATGTACAAAGTAATACAAACATACGTTTTATTTCCTGAAGATTGGTTTTAAACATCAAGTCCAGCCTATTCACCCAAAAGAATACCACGGCCCATCTAAGATTTAAAGGCCCAATCCACACATTCTAAAGGTCATGCTATTCGTACTACATCCTTCTTGCTAAGTTCACCTCAACAATATTTCAAAAATTTAAATTTTCTAAACCTCCTTAAAATTTCCCACCCTAGCCCCAACACTCCTTCATTTCTCTCTCCTGTCCTATTCAATCACTCCCTCTGTCTATTCTTTTATATAAATATTCGAAGAAACAAATAGAAAGAATCTAAGAGAAAAAAAAAACAGCAAGTAGTGAGGAATAAATAAAAGTATAAATCATTTGGTTGAGAAAATGAGAAATAGTAGAAGAATAAGGTAGAAGTTAAACTTTTAAGATTCTTTTTATCTTAAAAAATATCACAATTTGTTTTAGAAATGATTAACAAAATTAAATTTTAGATCGAAGGATCAATTATATATGAAAAAGATATAAACATGTTATAACGTCTATAATTTAAATAAATTTAAAATTTTTTATTTTATTCCTCATAATAATTAAGACTAATTTTAAAAAATTATTATTTATTTAAGATATTTCTTTTAATAAAAATAAATTATTATTATAATTATTAAAATAAATTATAATAATATTTTTTTTGAATCCACAAAGATGATATCTTCAAGTATAATAAACAATTAAAGTTGTTTTAAATATTTAGAATTAAAAAATATTTTAATATATATATATATATATATATAATTATTTTATTTAAAAAAGTAACATCTAAATTATACATACATCAAAAGTGATGGTTATTAATTTCCACATATTAAATTAAAAATATATGTAAAATAATTTCGATTAATTTTTATGTAATCGAATTAAAACTACATCTAAAATACTTATTATTAGCCTTATATAAAACCCGGCAGTTTCAAAATAATATCAACTGTTTTAAAATTAAATAAAAAGAAAATATATTTTATAAAGGCTATTGGCATTGTTTTTCTGCACCATGTACTATTTTTTCATATTTTTTATTAATTTAAAATGATAATATTGTTGTTAAGATAAATAGGTTTTGAATTTTTTTTATATAAATATTTTAGAATAAGTTTTCTAAAAATGTTTTAGTACTTTTTCATATTAAAGAACATTTATTCTGAAAAGTTTTCTAAAAAGTTTATTTTAGAAAATTTATGAAAATATTTTAAATTGACATTTTTGAAAGCCTTTGTCTGAACATTGATTTTAGAATGTTTTTGGAAATTTTTTGAAAAGTTTAAAGCAAAATATTTCTAAAAAAGTCCTCCGAAATAGTAGTATACACATAATCATTCATGAATTTATTATATTTCTCTTTTAGTTTTATCACTTTCCTTCACACCTCACACTATCAGATGTGGTCATTGCTCATGGCACATTTTAGCGATTACACAAGTTTAGAGTTGAAGGAGGGAAAGGTGGTGGCATTATACCATACATACTCACCATAAAAAATGTCACGGGTGACGATATTGTTCCCTAAAGCACAAAACAAGAAAGGAGGTACAAGATCATGGAGGTACAATGAGGTACACGCAAAAGTTAAAAATACATATGTATAGTATGAGGGTATAAAATGAAAATATGGAGGTGCGGGGAAAATATGATAAGGCTATCAGAACACACATGCTTTATTGGCCAAAACAAATATTGGTTATCATAGTTGGCCTAAAACGCTTTTTTCACAACCGTAAAGGAAAATATTCACGGTTAATAAAAAAATATATGAAAACCTAGGTTAGGAACAACTGAAAATTAAATAAGAAAAAAAGGAATTTCAATAACAATAACAAATAAATCTCACAACATTTGAAACTACTGACGTTATTAATGTAGAAAAGTATCATAGAAATACAAATAAAAACACTTTTTTAAATTCCAAAATCATTTAATATTATTATTTTGCTTGTAATATTGCTATCAAGCTTCATTTGTATTGCTTATGACACAATTTCATGTCAAACTTAAATTGGTGTGAAATTTACATCTTGTAATTACACTCTAGTTAATTATGTAGAATTGATTTATGAAATTTTACACAACTTTTTCTTTTGCTATTGAAACACATGTCAATAAAAAGGCTGCACTCAAATATATACAAAAATTCAAAATTATGTGTTGCTAAGAAAAGTTTAGGAAGTACCGTGAAGGATTGTACAAAGTTCAAAGTGGTTATAGGTCTTGAACATTAATCATTGTGTTTATGTACTTTCACCCACAACATCATCATTTAAAGGATCTTCGAAAATTGATAACCACATATTCTTCTATATGTTGTTATTAAGTAGGATTGTTTCTTTCTTTTTTTTAAATCAATGTACAAAGATGAAAAATAGTTAATATAAAAGGGATTGATAAAAAGTTGAAGGTATAACTATGTCTTAGCTTTCTTAATCTACAAAGTGGTTATAATGAGTTTTGGCAAGAGTTTGGTTGATATGATTGTGGGATGATTAAATAAGGCATTGTGGTTTTTAAGATGATAAAGTTGTGCTTTGAAACTGAATGTAGAATTTAATATTGCATATTAGTATTTTTTGTGTAAATTAGTTGGATTTCATTGTTCAATTATTTAGGCATGTCACTTTTTTCAAGATGAATTAATTTTTCAAGTTGAACCACTTTATCACCTGTAGGTTATTTTTTATTTAGACTAACAAATAAAAAAAAACAATTTAGAAAATTCTTTCAATTAAGCTTTGATCATAATCACTTAGTTCTTGATTATAAATTCTGATTTTGGATTTTCAAAATTAGTCCAAACATTAAAGTAAAGTGCGAGAAAAGTAAATGTGTGAGAAATATAAAGTATTGGAAATGTAAATGTGTTGGAAGAGTAAATCTAACTCATTACCGTGTGAGAAAAGTAAATGTGCAAAGGAAGTAAATATGCAGAAAGAGTAAATTGTTGTAAAAGTGAATCTAACTAGTTACTAAGATCAAAATGAAACTGATAAAGAAACTTAATCAAAGTGGTGATCTAAATTGTTAATAACTCCATTAAAATAATTTTTTCTTTATTCATGACGTCTTTTTAAAATGTCAGTGTCTTCCAAAATAATTTATACTTATTTTGTCACACATAATTACACTTATTTCATCCTATTTATACTTTATTTTTTGTAACCACTAAGCAAAATAAAATAAAATACAAATAAAAACGGCACCTTCCTTATTTAATAGTTTTTCCTTCCTTTTTTGAGTAGTTGCATTGTCATGTAGCACTTGTAATCGTTTATGTCACTTCATGGAGTTATAATTGTTTTTGTCACATGATAAAGTTATAATCATTTTTGCATACTTTACGATTGTATAACTCCTTCTCGATCTCTTATCTTCTTTGATTGTATAACTATTTTTCGTTCCCTTATTTTCTAGATTTCTCTAAATCTTTTTTTTTATCACTAATAACATTATCTTTTTCTTCCAATTTGTTTCTTGATTTCCCTCTAATAATTATGAATCCTCAATTCTGATTCTTCTATTCACCTTTACCACCTTACTTTCATCTATATTTTCCTTGTGATTAATATGCACTTTCAGTTATCTATTTCTTCAATTTACACTTTCGATAACTTGTTTCTCTCGATCTCGATTTCCTTTACATCTCTTGATTGACTCCTCAATTTCTTACATTCTCGATCTTTCACAATCCCGATCGAATTTTACCTTCTCAATCTTTACCATCTTAATCTCAATGTTTATACTCTTAATTTTTACCCTTTTGATCTCGATATTTATCATCAATTTCGATTTTCACCTTTTCAATATT